TAATCTAAAGTGTATCATAGAACTCAACTACATACACAATTCAACTAATCACTGCTGCTAACTCTTTCATTTGTTCTGATTCCTGAATTTAAGCTGTGACATTTTAATGTTGCTTTTTTAAAATGCCACAGGTGAATGAAAAACGGCAAAACTACCATGTAATTTAATTTCTAATTTGTACAGTGGCATAAATGACAGTAGAATTTACCAGCTTTTGAAAACTCAAATGACTCCTCTGAAGACTCAGCTTATGTAAATGATGTGAAGAAGAAGAAGAAGTGACATTTTGAGGTAAATCAGTGTAACAATGTACTGGACATGTAAATTATTCTTCATAACCAATTTCTTAATTAAAATTAATCTCTTTTTTCCCCATGAGGCCTTGAAACATTTCACAACTGTTTAGATTCAGAGCAGCTTTCAGAACTTTTGCACAAGCAAGTCTCTCTTCCAAAGCCTATGCAGCTCGCTAAGACAGCAACCTAATCATAATGGAAGTTCTATAAGCGACTGATTTGGAATGTTCTTCACAGACAGCAACACAGACAGTGCTCACATGGGAGACTCAATTGCATTAGCATGTTGCTAAGTTTAATTTAGAGTCTAGAATCTTAAACAATTTCTTATATTTCACAGCCAGGGAGTGATCTGAAAAAACATTCTAATGTCAAACTGTACAGCAAAATATGCACTTTACACTTTTATGTAGCCTATTAATTAAGCAGATGCTTTGATCCTATTTTTCTTTTATTTTCTATTGTCTACTTTATTTTTAGGGTGTGTTTAGAATAACAACCATATTGTACTTACTATGGCTATGACTCCTGAGCTGCCATACCAAAGCAGCAGACGGGGAAAATAGAAGTCCACAGGTTCACTAGCCAGTGGCAAAACATATACTTAAATCGTTAGCAATGTATGTGCCCTGGCCAAATAATTCTGCATAATAATAATTCTACTTTGGGATGGCCATCAATGGATAAAGATTTTTCAGGGGGGAAATACTATTAATTATTATTCACAGATATTCATATATAACATTTACACATGTAGAAATGTAAAGTAAATAAGACCCACAAATATGTACAATAGCAACATTTTAGCAAGATGTATCTTTATTGGCAGTTTTCTAATGAGAGAATGTTCACCTAACACACATTTGAAGCAAACTGGTTAATATTGCTGAACAAATTAAGTTTACAGACAGCATAATTCAAGTTCAAATTCAGCATAATTTTTAGCTGAGTCAACTAAAATAGGTTGTACAGTTCCACTTCCATACTACATGTGTTTTGTGGTGAGCTTGTAAGCAAGCAACCTATTAGTTGGAGTTAATAATTTGAAAATAATTAATTAATTAATTAATTGGCCCAAACTCTTTGCCACCCTGATTGTAAAGGCTCTTTACAGTTGTTGTCAAACAGCTGTACACTTGGCAATAAACCTTTCTTTCAGAAACATTTTAAGATGTTCAGTCCTCCACTAAAATTGCTCAGATTATCTTCTTCATTTATGGCCCACTTTGCTTGTTGTGAGACCCATGTATTTGTTGTAATGTCATAACAGCAAAATGCAGTGGACGTGTGAAAGAGGTTTTACTCTCCTTAAGTTTGTTCTGTCAGTTAGAGCTCCTGTTAGTACAGGCCAAGACACTATGAATGTTGTGTTTGTCACAGCAGTGATTTTTCATGAACAGTTTATGTTCATTTTCCATATTATTCCAAGTGCTAACATGTGACGGGACATCCAATTGCACACTATTGGTCAGCGTGAATTAGATTCAACAGTTTCTTTTTCAGCAGCATGAGAGCTGGGAAACAGCTGAAAAGTTTCTTGAGCTAAAAAAAAAGAGAGCTTAAAGTCTCTTGTTGTAGACTAATTTTCATATTCCATTCCCATCTAATCATTTGAAGGATAAAGCTAAAGAGCACAATATAGCAGAGAGTCATAGTCAGTAGAAAAATTAAATCAATTTAAATGCATTAGGGACTAAATGAACACGTACATAAAATGAATTAAAATGTTTCTGATTTATGAACATACAAACACACCACAATGAGAAACATCACCTGAGGCTCAACCATTGCTGGAAATTCATCCTGCGCGTTCAATTCTCTTGCCCCGGTGTATTTGTAGACTGAGAAAACAGGGAACCTACGTGTCATGTCGTAAAGTGTTACAAATCCTGTTTGTGTACCACTATTCTTATACTGGATGTTTATTGAAAAAGCTCTGCATTTACTAAGTGAACTGACAACTTCAGTCATGTGGCAGCCATCGTGGCGAATCAGGATCTCGTGGCTGGCCAGTCAGTCAGCAAAAACGATCTTATCGTTAAGTACCTGAGGGGAGCTCGGAGATTGAACTCACTTCATCCTCATTCTGTGCCAATTTGGGACTTATCCATAATCCTTAGGGCCTTACGAGGCCCTCCCTTTGAGCCAATCCAGTCGGCCTTTCAGACTTTCGGCCCCTGGAGCTTACAACCATCCTCCTTTTGGCTTTAGCATCGGTCAAGCAAGTGGGCGTCCTACAAGCACTGTCAATCAGTGCTTCATGCCTTGAGTTTGGGCCTAATGACTGTAGAGTCGTCCTCAAAACCAAGACACGGCTATGTGCCTAAAGTGCTCTCCACTCCATTTAGAGCACAAGTTTGTAGGGTTTTTCAGCTCTAAAAAGGGAAATATTTATGACTAATTATAACTGGTTATGATTAATAATATATATTTATATTATATCTTCGAATTAACTGTAGCAGAATCAATATTACAATTATTTGATCTGTCCGTCCACCGAGCAGACAATATAATCATTTATCAATTCAAGGAACTATTATTTTCCTGGCCAAGGAAGAATAAACTGTCCTTCTTTGTGCAGTGCTAACAGTAATTTAGCAAAATTTAGCAAGGGTTCACACATTCATTGAATTGTGAGCAGCAAACAGAGACAATCCCTTGTGAATATAAGGGATTTAATAAATGAAACTATATCTAACATATAACTAAGCAAAACACTTCTATATACACCATTTGACATTTAGCACCCATATAAGTATAAATCTGTGACCAGGACTGTAATTTATATGCAAATGTCAAAAGCTAAAAGGGTCTCTTAAGCCATAAAACCCAAAGAGCATGCATGATTCTACGCAGACGCTACAAGTTATCACCCATCCAGCTCTTCCTAACCCAGAGGATGAGCAAGGTGCCAATTCATTGTGCTCGGTTCTCTTATGTTGTGTATGTTGAGCGCTCTAGCCACTTTTGGCAGCTCTTTGTATGCATTGTAGACTTTCTGGCTGCCATTAACGAAGCAGAAACATCTTGCTGGATAGTTGATGCTATAGCCCTGGCTTACGACTCGGTGGGCTTACAGTGCGCTATTGAAGTGAGGGCCCACTCCACCAGAGAAATGGCCTCCTCCTGGGCTTGGTCCAGGGGAGTTTCAATTGGTGAGATCTGTGCGGCAGCCGGCTGGTCTTCGCCATCTTCCTTAGCCAGTTTTTATAACTTGGACGTGCCTGCCTTTTAGGCACTGATTTTTTTCCACTCTTATCCATTTGTTTGGGCAGCTACATAAAGCTACATGAACAAATCAAGCTTCAGTATTAGAGTAAACAGGAGTTTCCCCCCATAAGTGTGTCAACGCAATGTTTGTTTCCTTTATATCAGAGAACCGAGGTTACGTTAGTAACTGGAGCATTTCTTACTCCGCTGATAATAACAGCAAAGCAGCAAGTCAGGTGGCTAAACAAATCATTGCTACAACAAATATTATGTAGGCTACGAAAAATGAGCAAAATGCTACTATTAACAGCGCTGGCATAAAGTATATTGGTGCTACAAGCTTTACATGTTTTATTAGCTTGACAGTAGTGACACTACTTTTAAAATAGCATTAAAATTTATAGATACATTTATATTATAAAAAATTTCAGTAGCAACCTATTTTTTCTAAGTAGCAGTGTGGTGACACACACACACAAACTACCTACATTACTATGCATAAAATACGAGATACCCGACTGGCAAATTATTCACTCTTTTGAGTCTGTTCTCAGTCTGTTCTGCACAGTGATTCAAATGGAGATTCAGTCTAAATCAAGCACTGAATCGTTTGGCAAGTTAAAACAGCCCCCTGGCCTGAAGGCAGAGAACAAGTCAATTCACATTTTTCATATTTTATTTTAATCTGAAAGCATTTACCTCATACTTTTCAGGTCAATTAAGATGTACATGAATTAAAAATAATACATAATTATACTACTACTTTTTAAAATGAGCATTTGCTCATTCTGGACACTTATTATTAATTCTGTTTTTTGGCATTGTCAACATTTTGATATACATTCTACTAATATGCATTTTCTTTTAAAAATATTTATTTGATGAATTTTGAGTACATATTGTGTAAAGTAGGCTAAGTGTGCATTTAATCATCAGTTAAATGCACACTTGGGTAGAGCTTAGGTAGTGTGTGTGTGCACCTACCTAAAGCTTAGGTAGGTGCACACACATTCCTACTACCAATCTGAATCATTTTATAAGGATTGGACTCTGTGACGAATTGTTCGTTGTGTTCCTCATGAGTAAATCACTTTGGATAAAAACATCTGCTAAATAAATAAATGTAAATATAACAGATGTGACGAGAAAAACCGGTTCACCGTATCAGTGCGCAGCGTCCATAAACTGATTGATTTGTTGCATATGTCAGATATTCGCCCTCTAGCGGAAGAATACCTATTAATAATTATACTTCATGAAATCACGGTCTAATTACATGATTTGTTCTTATACTATTGTGTCCTTATATTCTAACCGTCGTGCCTAACACCTTCAGCCATAATGACTATATTCACAACACGTACCTTATTGCCTACTTATATTATTGTGCTGGAGCTGGTGGCCAGTCTTGTATGAGAACTAGTGCAAACCAGCATATGGTTCCCTAAATTAAAACGACATTCATCTGTCATCTGTGGGCGGATCTACCGGACTTCCCTGTGCTGTCGCTTTCGATTGTAGCGTAATTAGCAGCTGTACGTGTTGCACTTCGAGCTGACAGACATTAGCGCTGAGTGAGGGACTGACAGTGATCCAGCGGCGCACTGAAAAGCTGCTGCAGTCACTGCAGATCAAACCATGAGTGTCAGCTCAACGCGGAGCAGCGGGGAAGACCTCGACGAGCTGGAGTCAGTCAGGTGAGGTGAACCAACCCTCGGTTTATTTCTTGACCTACTTGGACCTTTCTGAACGCATATTCACAACTCATTAAATAATAATAGGCTACCCTATACCAGACAGCTCAGTTAAGTGCAATAACCATACACTTTTTTGAACTCCCCTAAATGAAGTTTGTGTCCTCTTTTATGTTTCTTGACCTAAACCTGTTTGTGAAAGTAGTTTATCATATTGTTTTACAGTGTTATACGCAAATGTTAAAATGAAAACAAATAGGCTAATAAAAAAACCCAACATAAGTTTATGAAAAACAAAATCTTGTCTGGTTAGTGCCGTTGTTTATTTGATTTGTAGCTACACCTGTTTGTTGTTGAATAGCGGCGTCAGCGAAAGAATGAGGAAATACTTCTATCAATGTACTCAATTATTGTGAATGAAAGGGTTGAAGAAAACGGATTGCTCGTTCACTGTGTTATATAATTTAACTTTTTGTTGTTGTTGTTAAAGGGCAACATGGCAAAACAAACGTGAAGCATTATTTTTCAGTGAACATTTTATTTTTATAGTAATTAAACAAAGACTTTTTATATTTCACCCCAAAAGAAGCCTGTTTTAGGACCAATAATTTCATTCATTCGTTAGTTAGTTTGTTTGTTTACATTGTGACTATTTTCATGACCTGTAAGCACTTTTACCTCAATACTAATTACAGTAATGCATGGATGTTTTACATTGGACTGTCAAAGGACTGCTGAAACAGTCATGAGAATCATCCCATCCATAAATTAGGTTTTACAAATATTGTTAGAATATGTACATAGTTGACAATTTTTAAATTTTTTTATTTTGCATTACAATCAAATTTACCCCATAACATTATGCTAAGGACATTACTTAGGCATAATTATATTATGTAGGCATAATGACGGACAAACGCACCATATCAATACCAGCATACTGGAACAACAGCAAATATGTCACTACATTATGTAATTAAACCGCACAATACCTGCAGGTTATTGTATCAAGGTCGCTGTTCTGTAATATCAGTCTATTAAACAGAAAAGCATGGTGCTGTGTACAACTTTCTTGAAATACATGACAATCCTAAATGGATTTCCATTTAAGTAAAATATGCAAATGATGTGTCAGCTTTTTTTTTCTTGCTGCGGCAATGCAGTGATGCGTTATCGTTGTTTTAAGAGAAATCACTCCTGTGCATCAATATATGATACACATATCCATTGTGTTGTCTAACCCAGATTCCCATTTCCAAAAACGCTGTCTGGTGGTAACTGTGGATGTTGACAGTCAATGGATATACAACTTGGCTTGGTGTTCAACTGCCCCATTCTGTTTCTCTCTGTAGCTGGTATCATTATGATTTGTCCCGACATGCAGCCGAAGCTCTTCTCCTTTCGAATGGGGTGGATGGGAATTTTTTACTCAGAAACAGCAACAAAGGACCTGACTGGTTTGCTTTATCTGTCCGGTAAGAAATGTCCACTTCGGACAAAAGTTTATAAGTAATTTGTGGTCCACTCAGCTGAATCACTTTGATATTAAAGTGCAGTATGCTCAGACACAAATAGTCTTGAATATTTTCCTTGTGTGCACTCCATTCAATTTATGGAGAAATGTACCAGCAAATACTATCATTAAAAATTGTATGCAAGTGTGCCTAGGACAATAGACATGGTAATAAGTTAATGTAAAGACATGTAATAAGTAAAGACTTTTAGTAGACTTAGTTAATTAAAAATATCCTTACTAATTTAAAACTTCTTATAGCACTTTGCAGGTAGGCCTGTCACTTTTCTTAAACGGTTTTCTATTTAAAAATATTTTGTAATGTAATTCATTCATGTGATAGTGAAGCTGAATTTTCAGCATCATTACTCCAGTCTTCAGTGTCACATGATCCTTCGGAAATCATGCTAATATGCTGATTTGCTGCTCAATAAACATTTCATATTGTTATCAATGTTGAAAATAGTTGCGCTGCTTTATATTTTTGTACATACAGGTTTTTCAGGATACTTTGGTGAATAGAAAGTTTAAAAGAACAGCATCTATTTAAAATAGAAATGTTTTAAACATTATAAATATCTTTGCTGTCACTTTTGATCAATTTATTGCATCCTTGCTGAATAAAAATATTAATTTCTTTAAAGCAAATCTTACTGACCCCAAACATTTGAATGGTAGTGTATAAATGCAGTATATGTAAGGGATAATCAACGGCTAGCCGTGTGTTAAAGGATTTTAAATGCACGACGTGGAGGCAAGGAACCACTCGACACGAAGCGGAACATATTTAATATCCTAAGTGAACTTATCTGACCTTAAGTTATTTGCAGCAATATAGGCACTCAACATTTCTAAAATGAGTTTTCCTCTGACCTTTTATTAAGCAAGCAAGTTAAAAAGTCAAAGGATGAACCAATATGGTTTTTGTTAGTCCTCTTATTTTTCCATTTCTCTTATTTTCTGTGGTTATTTAGATTACTTGAAGATTTTCAGTTCCCCTTTTCAATGTATCAGCTGTAAACCTCACGTTGTCTTGTGTCTTTAAAGTAAAGCTACTTATTCTGACTCCTACTGAAATGTATAGAATCTGATTCACACAAGCCATGAGGCAGTAACCTGCCTGGTCACTGTGACTCTGACTGATGCTTAAATGCCTGGTTATTTGGCACCTCGTTTATAGTGTGTGACTTTGTAGAAATAATGAACTGCCTATTTCAATACAATTAGGTGTGGTATCGCTTTTATACACCAGTTCTATAAACAAGTTAACAATGAACAATAATGAGAGTTCAGACACAGCAAGACAACACTTCCTCACTGCTTTTTCATCTCCAAACTTCTTCAGAGCAAAGGATTCAGTGAAACACTTTCATGTCCGGCGGCAGTTTGGCAAATATTCCTTTGGCTTCAATGAATTTCCTTCCCTTCAGGATTTTTGCAGTCACTTTGCCAATCAGCCGCTGCTAGGCAGCGAGACAGGTTAGCTATATTTACAGTTCACAAACTGCTTTTCAGCACTTCTCTGGCACAATGACCCTGTTTCCTGTTTCACTCTTGTAACCAAGGAAGCCTGATAGTGCTACGGTTCCCATACCCACGGCAGGTGGAAGAACCATCCATTTATGAGACGGTGTGTGTGCATACGGCCATGCAGACAGGCCGGCATGAAAACGACCTGGTGCCTAATGCTCCAGCAGTAAGTCCGAAAAAAAATATTGATCATTCAGTTGTTAATATAATGAACATTCAATTAAAGCATCTCAGTGGTTTTTGTACTACCTGTGGAGACTCACCTGTGTTAGCATTACTACTGGCGATAAAACTTATGACTAAGGGTAATCGATTAAACTGTACAATCTGTCAAGGAAATACATAACAGGACATATTAAAACCAGAAACCTAGAAACCTTAACAAGCAGTAAGTCAAATGCACTTTGATTTGTGTAAAGAAAGTACCTGGTATGTGTTGTAGTAACAAATGATGCTCTTATTTTTGGACAAGCCCAGCTTGCTGCCCTGGTCAGTTGCCAAAGCAAAGGTGGACAGGAACGCTGGCCGCAGTGCATATTCAGGAGCATTGTCATTGGCAACTAAAAGGGAAAACAAGCAAAATCTCAGATAATGCTTCAACAGATATATAAACAGACCTGGAAGTCAGAGGTGATGCTGTTACCTTTGATTACAGGGACTCCATCTCTATCCGTCACCACTATTGCATGGAGTCCTTCAACACTGATGATGATGATGATGAAGAGAAATGATCAGTTGTTACTCCGAATGCAAACTGAAGAAAACTTGTGTAAAACACAAGACCAATCTTTTTACCTTGGCAGTTGTTTATACAAATAACTCCTCAGATTCTGTAATAATTAAATCAAACGCATTAAGAACGCATCCAAGAAAACTTAAGCACATGCATTACAAATATACTCACGTCTGCCATATTCATTAGATTGACTATGTAGATCGCCTGCTGCACCCTGTAGCAAAAAGAGTGAAGAACGACGAGGAAATTACACGAAATGACATCTCATTGAAAATGCGTCTCGTTTGACAGTAACGACTTACTAACTACTAACACCTCTAATCTAGTAAATTGATATAAATGGAGGAAACGTTTGTTAAAATCATAATACGCTAAATTTAACCCGGTTTTATAAAAAGTTCCTCACTTGTTTATGTGCGATCATCACATGAGACAAAACACAAGCCTTTCCGGGTACGTAATATCCGTTCAAACGTCAAGGAGAGTCCGTGCAAACAAGGCCATCTAGTGGTTCATGTTGGAGTTGCTGTTTATGCCAATGAAGGTATTTGAGGTTTTGATGTTTGTAGATTAGTAAAATTAGTTTATCTTCAGCCCTTTATATATAATGTCTATAATCATAATATGCAGATTATAATTAAAGAAAAAGTTAAAAATCACTTTATGTAGCCTATGTACGTAGTGTTATCTTAGCTTTTTCTTTCCTTATTCTTTAGTCAGTTTTGTTTTATTTCGCCATTAGCTTTGAAATTTATTTCAAAATGAATAAAATTAGATTCTCTGAAAAAAAAAAATCTAAAAATATCTTGCATCACGGTGTTCTTAGTAAAGAATGTTGTTTAAATAGATCACTAAGTTGTCACAGGTCTAACAATCTGGTATCCCTTGTGCAGCGCGTTATGGAATGTTTGGTAAAAAAATATTACTTTATTGACATCGGTGACTCCACTGATGACCTTTAACATCCATAGACCTTTCCATTGCACAAGATTCTTCATAGTGCAAAAATGTTCCTCACACTAAGAAAAAAAACGGTTCTTTTGAGAAAGAAGCTTATCAATATATTATTGCACTTTTCTTGTTTCAAAAACTGAAATAGGCTATGTTAATGGCATACACTCCAAGTTCCAAGTAAGCTTTTCTGTTGCATGGAATGAAAAGCTTTCATGTGAGGATTAGTACAGAAACAACAGTTCCTTCAGTCCTCACAAACCAAGCAGAAAACATAATTAGAGAACATAATCCAGGCCAATGCTTTTCCAGCCCTTCATTCCCACAACCACCCTGTAACCTTCTACATCCCCTAAGTGCACACACACAGTTTTATGATCTGAAGAGGGGGAGTCTGGACTTCAGATTTGTTCAAGCCCCATGATTTTGTTTGAACAGATGTGAATGTTAGCCTGAGTGGTATATATATGATTATGTGTGACAAAGAGATGGCATCTGGATTCCTGAACGCTTCTGCTGAGACCGTATATGGTGAAAAGAGCGCCTTCACACAAACTGAACACAATATTGTTGCTGCATACCTCATAACTGCAGGTAAAGAGCAGAGTGTGTGTGTGTGTGTGTGCGTGTGTACTTAAATCATCATGACTGTCATATAAATGTATTGACACTTTTAAATAACTAATTTAATAATTATCAAGTTTTTGAGTTGGCATCTAAAAAGAGAAATGTCTTTGAGGCCTAGATTCAGCACAATGTTTTTAAGCATTCCTTGAAGTTGACATTTACAGAATTAGCCAAGCGTGTGAGGTAACCAGCAGGGGGGGGGGGGGGGGGGGTTAGTTCTGTAAAATGGAAAACTGAAAACGGGAAATGTTTTAAATGGACGTGGTGAAATATGCATGCGAAAACGTCTGTCTGTGTTCACAGATGTCTTAACCTCCTGTTCTCCCTGTCTGTGTGTCTCTCTCTGGTGGCAGGAGTGGTCAGTCTGTGTAGTAACATTGTGGTGCTGCTGATGTTTGTGAAGTTCAGAGAGCTATGTACTGCCACGAATGCTATCATTATCAATCTGGCTTTCACTGACATTGGCGTAGCCGGTATTGGTTACCCCATGTCAGCAGCCTCAGACCTGCACGGGAGCTGGAAATTTGGTTACACAGGCTGCCAGGTGTGCATAAACCAACACATAAATAAACACAAAGTCATTCTGATTGTATAATTAAGCAATATTGTGAATATAATCATAGCTAAAGTGCATTTTTGGGGGTCAATGATGAGTAAGATTGGTCAAAGAACATTCTTTTTGCACTCACTTTTCTATGGTTTTGAAAAACTTTTTTCCATTTTCTACAAAATGTATATCTGTAATATTTACTCCAGTGTCATCTGGTGTTATTTAAAGTGTATTTAGGCCTAAATACTACAAGGTAAGTTGTTGTTTTTTCTTTTGTTTTTTCTAAGAAATGACAAAAGATACCACTATATGTATAATCGTTTTCTTAAATTCATTTTAAACCTCTTAAATCAATTTTTTAAAAATAATTTTCAAAGTTTTTAAATTCCTTGTTTTATTGTTGTGATTATTGTTTTTATTTTATTTTATGTAAAGCACTTTGAATTACCATTGTGTATGAAATGTGCTATACAAATAAACTTGCCTTGCCTTGCCTAACAGTGCTAGATATTAAATCTCTGGATGTGGGACACATTTTCATTAAAAGTATTATTTTATTACAATTTTGTTATTTTCTGCTACTTTTGTACATGTAAACAACAACAGAACTTGTTGCCTCTTTTATAGATCTATGCTGCCTTGAATATATTCTTCGGAATGGCTAGTATTGGACTGCTCACTGTGGTTGCCATTGACTGATACCTTACCATATGTCGACCTGACATAGGTATGCTATCCATACAACTACCTGATTGAAATATGAACCACTAAGGACTGTCATTTGTGTTTAATTCTTTACTCAAAGACGGGGGCCAAATGCATTAGGAAATCTATTAATGAGTGTTTGCTACAGGACAGAAGCTGACAACAGTATCATACACGCTTGTAATTGTGGCTGCTTGGCTGAATGCTGTGTTTTGGTCATCTATGCCCATCGTTGGTTGGGCAGGATATGCTCCCGACCCCACAGGAGCCACCTGCACCATCAACTGGAGGAACAATGACACGTGAGTCAAGAATGCCGGTACAGGTTCTACAGACCCTTTTTATTACAAACCCAATTCCAAAAAGTTGGGACACTGTTCAAATTGTGAGTAAAAAAGGAATGGAATAATTTACAAATCTCATAAACTTATATTTTATTCACAATAGAATATAGATAACATATCAAATGTTGAAAGTGAGACATTTTGAAATGTCATGCCAAATATTGGCTCATTTTGGATTTCATGAGAGCTACACATTCCAAAAAAGTTGGCACAGGTAGCAATAAGAGGCCGGAAAAGTTAAATGTACATATAAGGAACAGCTGGAGGACCAATTTGCAACTTATTAGGTCAATTGGCAACATGATTGGGTATAAAAAGAGCCTCTCAGAGTGGCAGTGTCTCTCAGAAGTCAAGATGGGCAGAGGATCACCAATTCCCCCAATGCTGCGGTGAAAAATAGTAGAGCAAGAGGGGATGCCACACAGTGGTAAACATGGCCTTGTCCCAACTTTTTTGAGAAGTGTTGATGCCATGAAATTTAAAATCAACTTATTTTTCCCTTAAACTGATACATTTTTCTCAGTTTAAACATGTATGTCATCTGTTGTATTCTGAATAAAATATTGAAATTCGAAACTTCCACATTGCATTCTGTTTTTATTCACAATTTGTACAGTGTCCCAACTTTTTTGGAATCGGGTTTGTAGTTTACCACTCTCTTATCAGTTTTACCACTCTGTAAAGCTTTTCTTCAGAGATTGTGGAATGGGGATTACAAGTGGGACTAATCCTGTTTGATTTCAGATCTTTTGTGTCCTACACAATGACTGCGATCACTGTCAACTTCATCATTCCTCTAGCGGTCATGTTCTACTGCTACTACAACGTCTCAGTTACTGTGAAGAGATACAAAGCCAGTAACTGCCTAGACGGCATCAACATGGATTGGTCAGATCAGATGGACGTTACCAAGGTAGTACCAGCAGTATTTTTATTTTATTACCTAGACCTTTAATTTAAATAAAGCTAAAATAAAATATAAAAATTATGTGTAAAAATATCAACTTAAACTTGAAAAATAAGAAAAGAAAAAAGTAAAAAAAAAATATATATAGAGAGAAATTCTGACTTGGCAACTAAATAAATCAAGTTGAAGTACTAAAATTAGATCTAAAATAAATACACATTTAAAGCAAAAATATAAATTAAAGCGATAAAAATTAAATGTCAAATGTACATAAAAATTACTAAAACTGAAATTAAAATGAAAACTGAAAATATCATTAAACTTAATTACAAATATTAATAAAATAATATATTAACAAAATAACACTGCTTGACAGGTTTTGTGTGCTCTCCGGTTCAGTTTGACCTGAATGCTCCTTTATTTTTACAGCTGTCCATTATAATGATAGTGATGTTCCTGGCTGCCTGGTCTCCATATTCAATTGTGTGTTTGTGGGCATCATTTGGTGACCCCAAAAAGATTCCAGCTCCAATGGCCATAATTGCCCCACTCTTTGCCAAGTCCTCCACCTTTTACAATCCTTGCATCTATGTCATCGCCAACAAGAAGTAAGGCCTCCTTGTCCCATTTTTTGTAGTGATACGCCACTTTGTTTCCTTTTCTTTTTTTACTAAGTTGTATTTGTTTACTGCAGGTTCAGGAGAGCCATCATGGGTATGTTACGATGTCAAACACGACAGAGAATCACTATTAGCAACCAGCTTCCAATGACGGCATCATCTGCGCCACTCAACACCTAAATGATGAGACGATCAGATATTTAAACATTCATAAAACAGCGCTGGACGCTTTCTGTCTGCTCCAATGTTTAAACACTGCTAGGCCTCAATTACTTTGAGGTTTCATACAAATACAAAGTGTCGTTATACCATGAATGTCCTTCTTTCAACTGACATTGACTTCCTTTGACCTTGCTATTCAGTATAGTCTGATAGTATTTAGTCTGATGCTTGTTACACTGTTATCAGTCTACTGCAAATCCTGTGAAATTAATGTTGTTGATACTGTAATTTTGTAAAATGTTTTCATTTGAATAAAAACAATTCCACTTCATCTGTTGTATTCTGAATAAAATATTGAAATTCGAAACTTCCACATTGCATTCTGTTTTTATTCACAATTTGTACAGTGTCCCAACTTTTTTGGAATCGGGTTTGTAGTTTACCACTCTCTTATCAGTTTTACCACTCTGTAAAGCTTTTCTTCAGAGATTGTGGAATGGGGATTACAAGTGGGACTAATCCTGTTTGATTTCAGATCTTTTGTGTCCTACACAATGACTGCGATCACCGTCAACTTCATCATTCCTCTAGCGGTCATGTTCTACTGCTACTACAACGTCTCAGTTACTGTGAAGAGATACAAAGCCAGTAACTGCCTAGACGGCATCAACATGGATTGGTCAGATCAGATGGACGTTACCAAGGTAGTACCAGCAGTATTTTTATTTTATTTTATTACCTAGACCTTTAATTTAAATAAAGCTAAAATAAAATATAAAAATTGTGTAAAAATATCAACTTAAACTTGAAAAATAAGAAAAGAAAAAAGTAAAAAAAAAATATATATAGAGAGAAATTCTGACTTGGCAACTAAATAAATCAAGTTGAAGTACTAAAATTAGATCTAAAATAAATACACATTTAAAGCAAAAATATAAATTAAAGCGATAAAAATTAAATGTCAAATGTACATAAAAATTACTAAAACTGAAATTAAAATGAAAACTGAAAATATCATTAAACTTAATTACAAATATTAATAAAATATATTACCAAAATAACACTGCTTGACAGGTTTTGTGTGCTCTCCGGTTCAGTTTGACCTGAATGCTCCTTTATTTTTACAGCTGTCCATTATAATGATAGTGATGTTCCTGGCTGCCTGGTCTCCATATTCAATTGTGTGTTTGTGGGCATCATTTGGTGACCCCAAAAAGATTCCAGCTCCAATGGCCATAATTGCCCCACTCTTTGCCAAGTCCTCCACCTTTTACAATCCTTGCATCTATGTCATCGCCAACAAGAAGTAAGGCCTCCTTGTCCCATTTTTTTGTTGTGATACGCCACTTTGTTTCCTTTTCTTTTTTTACTAAAGTTGTATTTGTTGACTGCAGGTTCAGGAGAGCCATCATGGGTATGTTACGATGCCAAACACGACAGAGAATCCCTATTAACAACCAGCTTCCAATGACGGCATCATCTGTGCCACTCAACCCCTAAATGATGAGACGATCAGATATTTAAACATTATTAAAACAGCGCTGGACGCTTTCTGTCTGCTCCAATGTTTAAACACTGCTAGGCCTCAATTACTTTGAGGTTTCATACAAATACAAAGTGTCATTATACCATGAATGTCCTTCCTTCAACTGACATTGACTTCCTTTGACCTTGCTATTCAGTATAGTCTGATAGTATTTAGTCTGATGCTTGTTACACTGTTATCAGTCTACTGCAAATCCTGTGAAATTACTGTTGTTGATACTGTATTTTTGTAAAATGTTTTCATTTGAATAAAAACAATTCCACTGTGATTTATCTTTTAGATGTCTATAGTTTATAAAAAGGCTGGAAGACACTACATTACTTTTAAAATCAGAACAGGCTACATGTCATGTCAACACGTTTGATATCTTCTGAGTGAACAGAATCAAAGTCTGAAGCTAAAAAAAACTGCCTGTCATATACTACATAATATTTAGAGAAATCTGTCATTTCTGACTGCTCAAAATATGCAAATTGACTTTGAAAACTTGTCCAAATTGAGGCAAAAATCTGTGCAAATGCAGTTATGTGGTGTATTCCAGCCCTTAGTCTTTTATGAAAAAACAACAATATTTTGAGAACATTCTTTTATTGAAGTACCTGAAAAATGTGTCATAACACGTGTGAAGAATGTAAGCATCCTTTAAGACATTTATTTCACATTTACACATTTTACAAATAATTACTATAATGTATAATCAACACATTCAATAAAGAATGTAGTGTCTAAAAATGTGTAATGCCTAGTTCCAAAGAGAATATTTGTTAATTTAACTGTCATGCCAACAGAATTCAAGACTATTTTGTAATGAGAGTGTTTTTGATTGTGGCTCTTAACTAAAAATGATTTTTTTCAAGCTGCCCTGAGCAATTCATTGACTTGTGAAAACAAATTTAGTGGGGGTGTAAAAATTGTTCTGATGCTGGCCCATTACAGCACTAGTTCTCCAGCACCACATTGTTGTCCAGCCAGACACGGATCTCATCCAGGTTCTGTTTCATCCATTCAATGTTGTTCTTCACAGTCTCTATTGCCTGCTTTCTGGGCATCTCACCTGCTCCTGCATTCGGATGAAGTGCAAAAAAGTGCTCCATCTAAAAAGAGACCAACATATGTTAAAGTTAAAACATTGTACACAAAAGCATATTATAAAGGCAAAAGCAAGTAGTAAGTTCCGAACACAGCCTTTGTTTCTCACCTTCCACAGCTGCATATCAGTGTTGTATGTACTAGTAATTATGGAGGGCAGGCGGCCCAAGTTTCTGTCATTAATGGTATATCTAAAACAGACATGACATCATATATACCACTGTTATTCTCAAAGGGAAGGCTGATTTTCTTTCAACTGTTAGATGAACTAACCTGTTAACTAGGTAATCCCAGTTGAGCGTGACCCAGTCCCAGGCCATGGTTTTGCCAAGTGGGTTTCGAGATACATACTGCACTAAAGTAAAAACATCTTGACTCCTCACAATGCTTTCATTTTTAGCAGCTTCAAGCAACCTGTTACAAAAGCAAGACATTTGAATAAATGAATTAATAATTGAGTGCTAGTTTACTTCAACAAAGAGGTTTATTCATTTAGCAGACCCTTTTATCCAAAGCAACTACAAATAGTAGTGTAAGCATGCTAAATTTCAAATGAGGAGCAGAAATAAATTTTTAATTTGTATTTTTATACATTATTAGGCTATTAGTTAGTCAAGTGTTCTTGTTAGTGAGAGCATCTGAAGCAGTATCAGTATCTATAGACGAGTCTTTTCTTTTGTATTGTGCTGTATATCTGAGAATAATGAATTATCAAAAAAGATAAATCGATATATCATGCAGAAAAAAAAGAAGAATGTGGAAACTTGGTTTTATCCATTTTGTTGATTGGTGAACTGTCATTTCAATCCGACAACTCTGCTCTGGGAAGAGGGAGTTTACCTATGAAGGAGAGTGATATCTTCTACTGAAGCCAGGCCATAGAGCAGCTTGTCTTTCTCCTGGGCAAGAGTGGCAGAGACATACTTGCGGAACATGATTTCCCAGCTCTGGACTGATGCTGACTTCTTCATTCCATATCGGTACACCAGCAACCGTAAATTGACAGCCACACTGCTGCTCCCCAATCAGATAAAGAGCTTCTTTATTACACACATTCTGATTGGACCACTGGAGGTATTTATGTATGAATGTAATTACCTAACTGTTCCATCGATCCATTTACTGAAAATGTCATAGGCTTGGTCGAGAGCTTCCTGGTCACCCATCTGACATGCAATGCCCAAAACTGTCTCTCTCAGCAGCCTGTACATGAAAAAACAACAATAGTAAAAATACTACAATATCCAAGTTTTTCCATTTAACTTTTTTATCAAATTGTTATGATTTTTTAAATTAAATTAATAGAAATTTTTAGTGGGGACACACGTGCAAACTATTCAGCACATGTGTGTGTGTGTATATATATATATATATATATATATATGCAACATTTTAAAACCGAGGTATCTGGTTTACAGGAATGATAAATTCAAGAATGTATCCTTGGCCTGCTGTAGAAAATCTTTTCTAGTTATTTCTGCCAAAAAACATTTTCTCACCGCTGTGTTTGTGTCCCCTCATCATTCCACCCAAGCTCTTTGGATATCTTCTGCACATGGTCACTGAAGAGTTTCTAAACAGAGATGACGTGAAACAGACCATTTGAGTAACAGAAAATATAAAATGGGAACTTCTGGTTCTGGCTAACATTTATATAAAGAATATCAGCTGTAAATCTCACATTTAACATTGTACATGATTTTTTTATAAAATGGATTATTTATAAGGTATAATGAATACTTTGGGATCCAACCTGGAATTTGGGGTACAGCGCTGTATCATCAGCCAACATGTCGCTCACATAGGAGATAGAAGTAGATACTCTATCCCACACAATATACTCAGTTTCATTGGCCAGATATCTTGTTAAGTTGAAGGCATGTCCATAATCGACAATATCTGCCCTGTTAATACAAAACAAAAGGCAGGACTTTAAGCATGATGTTATCATCCTTGCTTTATGTCCTCCACTATAACCATAATAAGCTGTGCTATGAAAAATAAGTTCAAATTTATTTTTTTGCCTGTCATCAAGTCAAGATTGAAAGCATAAGCTTTCTGCAGCTGGAAGATGTTTGTACTAACTCACCGTCCAAATGCAAATACATCATCAATGTAGCTGCTTCGGTCAGTTGCATCATACACCTGAAAAAGATAAGCATTATGTGGGTTATTATGTTTTATTACACAGCTCTTTGCAATACCTGATCCTGATTGGTCAGTCTCTCTCTTTTTTTAAATTATTTTTTTTATCAAATATTTATTCCTGATTGGTCAATCTCGATATCCCTCTGTCGTCCGTGGTAACTGTCATTTAATTCAAACCCCAAACGTAATTAGCACAACCCCAATACAATTCTATAACGTTTCAGTATATCTTTTAATATATTGCATCTGTATCTTTATATCTGTTTTTCACAGCGGAATACATGCAGCGTCAGCATAAAGCGAGAAAGGTGATTCAACGATTCAACAGTGATTTCAATGGAAGCACACAGTACGGAGGCTCTGGCTCTGCATTACAGGTAAGATTATAAAATAATTAATAGATAGATAATATTAATAGATAATAGATTATCAGTAGGAGTGATATACATTTTAGGATTATTTTCTTTTTTTGTAGCTAAAGTTCTGTTACTTAGTTCTGACAGAGAAATGAATATGAATAATAATACCTGATGATTTACAGAGAGTTGCTCGGCAATAGCGCTCCACACATGGTCACGGTGATTTACTCGGTAAAAGCCCATGTGGTCTTTGTTGACTTTGATGAGACCATCGGTAGCAGGGGAGTATCCAGCAATTACTACCTCTAATTAAACACAGGCCAATGACAGAAATTACACAGCAGAACAGAAAAATAACCTATTCCTAAATACTAAAAAAAAAAAAAAAAAAGAACTGAGCATCTTGTTCACCTGTGTCTCCCTTGTCAAACTGGAAAGAAGCATTTTTGGAGTCAAGTGTGCTCCATTTCACAGGAATGGTCCATTTGTAGCTGTGGGACAAGAGTTAAAACATCTCAGTGAACTAAATAAGAATCAGAGTTCAGAGTTCAGTTCATTATCTGTGTTCCTTCCTGTGAAGAATAATCAGGGGAATTATTATTTGTGCTCATGTTGTAGAGCTTAGGGTTAGATTTCCTTTCTCTTTGGAGTGTTACAAGCTCTTGGTGCATAAAGAAGATCTGTAAAGTTGCAAAGACTAAAGTCTCAAATCGAAAGAGACATTCTTTATAAAAGTTAAGAGTCAACCACGCCTACCTAAAATGCCTCGTTCTAACCCGCCCCCACATGTCTACGTCACTATGTGGACATATTAGTATAATGCCGCCCAAATGTGCACGCAAAGAAATAAGGCTTGAGAGAGGCGGGGCATAGAGGACCTACAATAATGTACAGTATTTGAAAAATAATGTGTTTTTTGAACATTAAAGCATGTCAACATATTCTGTAACACCAAATACACAAAATAATGATCTTTAAAATAGCATCATATGACCCCTTTAAAGGATACCAGAGCAGTGCTTTTCAACTGGTGGGCAGTTACTGAAAGATGGGTTTCAGATCTGTTCTTGTTGCAGACAGTAAGGATAAACCAACCATATAATCTACTTATCTACTTTAAAAAAAAAGACGTTTCGTTCTTGATGTCAAAGGCTGTGCATTTGATTAAACAGTATTTTGGTGCAAATTCAGTATGGCTAATACAATATATGCATTTTCCTAATGTGTGCATGTCATTTATGTAATTTTTTTTTTTTTGCAAAATGTTGGGCCTATTTGGTTCATGGTCTAAGTGGGAGAACTTGCACAATTGGTGGCTGACTAAATACTTTTTTGCCCCACTGTATATGTAAAAAGCAATGCGTCTTACTCGACATCCATCCCTAAATGTGTCACGGCCAAGCAAGTCCTCCAGCATTCGTAAAATAGAAGCGCCCTACAATAGAATGACATCACAATTATCAATTCATAGCCAATAGAGTTGACAGATTAACAACACTAGGTCAAGCATCACTGACTTAACCATACCTTGTTATATGAGATTGCATCAAACACAGATGTGATCTCAGCAGGGCTGGACACATCCACGATAATAGGATGGGATGAGAGAAGAGCATCATCAACCATGACAGGAAATACATCATTGATAAGCATGATGTCCCTCTGAAAACACACAAGATCAATTGGCATAAACATGACATCCAGTCTCAATGTAACTGAATGGTTTCAGAGAGATATTGCCTATTTAGGAATATATTTGAATGATTCGGGTATGTGCTTACCATTCCCCAGTCAGGCTCGGCTTCTTCCACTCCCACATACTCAAAAAAGCTGGCAAAGCCCTCGTTCAACCACAGGTCGTCCCACCAGTCCATAGTCACAATATTTCCAAACCACTGCAAATTAAAGACAAAACAGTACCTTAAACGGTAGACCCCAAATACCTCATGCTTATTCAGCCCTATACTGTTCCAGTATATTGTTCCTTTCATAAAACGTGTTCAGTCTAGGAAAAAGGCATTTGTACATTTTGTACTATAATATATATATATATATAATAAATAAAAGAGTTCAATATATGAACTATGCAACCAAAGTTGGCAGCATCAGTAGCATGTGAATGTCTTTACAAGGAAAGCAGTTACAAATGACCTAATTACATCCTGATTTTAGACCATCTATAAAAGTTTTCTACAATTCTGTTATATTATCATGTAATATTTTTAGCCCTGTGTAACTTCAGATTGTTTTTTTGGATTCAAACTGTGTCCAGCAACCTTGGACCTAGCCATAAATAGATAATCTTATCAGTGTGCAATGTGACTGCAGTGATTACCCCGAAAACATGTATTGGATGCTTCTGAGAGAGTGTAATATGTAACTGTGATAATAATCTTTATGGTAATCATATTTTTCTCTGTCGGCCTTGTTACTGTAAATGGATCTGACACATTCACCCTCTTTGATTGTATGCTACAGGAAACAGTAAAATGAGATGCATGCTCAGCACAGGGTGTTCTGCCAATTTGTTTCTGATGTGTGGCTGATGATGTACTATACTCGATTGTCCTCGCTCTGCGTAGTGTCCTGGACAGAGCACCTGTAGTGTGCTTTCAAGCACTGCTGCATGCTATGAATGATATCTAAGCTGCAGTCTGGATATAGTACAGGAGATTAAAAAGTCATAACTTTTCCTTATTCACTAATCAGATGTGTGATAAGGTTAGCAACCTGGTGAACAAGCTCATGCGCAATGACACTGGCCACTCGCTGTTTGTTGATTGAGGAGGACTCGTTCTCATCGAACAGCAGGTTGGTTTCTCTGTAAGTGATCAAGCCCCAGTTCTCCATCGCTCCTGTCCCAAAGTCTGGGATTGCTATCTTATCTGCAACAGAGACAGAATGTTCTTTTGCCACAATAATCATTGCATAGATAGACAAGATATGAATCAGTTAATAAGATGAATCAGTGTCTTTTTTTATGAGATCATGATGTGTACAGCTGCTTCACATTGTATAAGGGTCGATGACAAAAAGAGTGTCTGCTAATTTACCAAGTTTCTCTATAGAATATTCCATGTCAAAATACTCCTCAAAGTAATCAAATATAATCTTGGTGACATTTGCAGCATATTCAGCGGTTGAGATCTGCAAAGGCTGAGCATAGATCCGCAACTGTCAGAAGGGAGAGGAGATTAATAATGAAAATCCATGATACTGATTATACTGATTGTCAGGAACTATTTAAGCAAATTCTGGATTCAGTAGAACAAATATTGAAAAAAGTGCTTACTGGTATATTTCTTTTTGAGGTCCGCTCTACATAGTGGAACTGGTGAACCGCAAAACATACCAGATAGGTACTCATCTTTACTGATTTTTTAAAGGATGTTTTTGTCTTTTGGTCCGACACTTTTTCTATGTTCTGTGAAAGAGAGTTTTAGGAGTTACAGTTAACTATCTATCAACTGAATAGAAAGCAAGCATATGAATGCAACCAGACCTCATTTACCAGAGCTGTAAGGAAAACCACACATAACGCATAACATACAAGCAGACTGATGGTTCAAGACTTGGTTTAAAAGTTTAAGCTATACTTTGAAACCTTCAGTAATTGTTTTGAAGGCTCAAGCAGTAAGGGAACGTACCTCCACAGGCATGTTGGACAGTGCTTCATAAGCACTGCCATGGGTGATGGAGATTGTGTAGGTGGCCTTTTTGTTGGGCTCATCAAAACAGGGAAAAGATTTACGAGCGTCAGTGGGTTCATGGTCTGTTGCAGCGATTTTCCTGTAAAAGATCAGAGAGGGGTTCATAAAACTCAACTAGTGGTTTACGTTTACCTCAGTAACCTCATGTGGGGAAAGTCCAACCACATTTTCATTAACATCTAATCAAGTTTGATTACAACTAAATTAAACTCACTGTCAGTTCTATGTGTGTGCAACAAAATTGATTTTGGTGGCCTCTGAAATTTTGTCCAAGTGCTTTAAAACAAAGTATAATGTAGGCTAATTTAAAAATTACATTGATAAACAGAATCTATTCCTATGTGGTGTGAGTCATAGTTCTTGCAATTCATCATGGATAATAAAGACTCATTTGTTAATCATATGTGATATATAATATTGTGCGCTTGTTTAGCTGTTAGCTTTTCTCAGATCTGAACCTGAAACACAACAGAATATAGCAATAACAGAGCTTAAAACCATGTTACTTCATGAATAAATAAGCTTTAGCAGATGTAGACCTCTCATTCTTGGCACCTCTCAGCTTTTGTTCCAAGAAATGAAGGTACATGTCAGTTCAGTACATTTGTTAAAATTTCACACCATTCCCAAATCAGATAATATATAATGACCCCATCAATGGCTAGTATCCCACATCAACAACAATACTACATCCTAGGGAGTGCGTTTGAGTATGTTGCATAACAAACAGTTGCACTTAGAGAAATATAAGGGAACAGCTTGGCAATACTCAAGCTCTGAAAATAAACATAGAAGCGTAGCATTGTTAAATACTTAACATTGTAATCTCATTGGGATTTTCCACTATTTTGATATCTCCCTCAGAGACTATAATTCATTTCTCTGTGGAGCAGATGTCTCAGATCATCTTATTCAAACTGTGGGCTACATTCAGTCCTGTGTAATCTGTTCCCTGTCAAATCAGAGGAGCTAAGCTGTAATGGTTTGAAAATTGAGATAAAAAGACTAAGGCAAGACATTTCTGGGACATGCTGTAATATGGTAAAAGGTCATTTGCATTAGTGAGTTCTGACTGTTGAAGCCAAACATCAAGTACATTTTGGGAAGTTTATCCTCTGATACAGTAAAATAACTTGGTTAATATCTGAAATTATCAGTGCAACCGTAAAAGGTCACTTGTAGTTCAGATAGATAATGTCTACTAGTCATAGCGGTCAACATATTTGTAATCAGGCCAGGTCACCTAAAGTTTAGGGCAACAAAGTTTTGTAGTACAAGAGTGATGATTGTCCTGATAAAGAGTTTACTATTTGGTGTTGCCTGATGGCCCTGAATTGGTAATGGATGGGAAGCTCTGGAACTGTAACAAACGTATCTGAGTGCCTAGTTATTATAGCAAAAAAACAACACCACATCTCATCAGGTCATCTATTAAACACTGGGCAGGGTTGTAAAATAATGTAATAACGGTAATTTATTACTATACGCATGAATCATTTGTGGATTTTGTACCTTACTTGAGTAGTGCTAAAACTGATTACTATAATAATTGTTTTATATTGAGGAAATGATACTTTTTTTAGTAAATTTCTTTTAGACCTTCAAAATGCCAACCATTTTTGCATGTCATCACAACCTAAATCTGTCCTCATTTTGTCAGTTTTACTGAGCTTACAATTATGGTCAAATTAAATTTACTTTTACAGCCAATGACATCCATTTCAGTGTAAACTATATTTGGAAATAATTTTGATCAATCAGCTTAAAGAAGAATCATTGGACAGAGACAAAGATGGACAATCTTGACTCAGTGATCATTGTAATAAATAACTACACTACTGTGCAAAGTTTGGGGTCAGTAAGTTTTTTTTACAACTTTTGTTGTTGTTAAGAAATTACTTTACTTTTGATTAATTTAATGCATCCATATTAAATAAAACTATTAAAGACATTTATAATATCCACAAAAGTACTAAGCACCACCGTTTTCAACACTGGTAATATTAAGAAATGTTTCTTGAGCATCAAATTAGCTTATGGTTTCTGAAGGATCATGTGACACTGGAGTAATGATGCTTTGCCATCATAGGAATAAAACATATATTAATATAGAAACAGTATTTTAAAGTCAATATTATGTTTGTACTGTATTTTTGATCAAATAAATGCCTTGGTAAGCATAAGAGACTTTTTTTAAAAATCTAACCAAATGGTAGTGTGTCTATTTAAACATACTATAAAATGTCGATGCTTTATATATATATATATAGTTCAGTAATCATTGTGACAGTACACGCACTTTCAAGTATAATTTCTTAGTACTTTTCACACCTCTTATTGTGCATACTGACTAATTACATACCAAAAATTAATTTCTACAATATAGATGTCTTGACGCTTACTTGGTAACTTCATTCTCCTGATATGTGGTCCTGTAGAAACCAACCAGAGAGCCGTTGAGCCAGCCCTGGAAGTGTAGAGTGAGGATGTAGTGCTCGTCTGGGCCAGTGACACTCAGCTGCTCGGCCGCCTCCACCACCACATACTCCTGCGGCTTGTACTCAAAGCATTCCTTCACCCGGACGGAGGTCAAGCCGGATGGGCCGCTGCGCTGCAGAGAGGGCACCGCGGTGACAAAAGTCTCTCTAATGTGGAGCCACAGGTGCTGACTGGGCTGTGTCAGGGTCAGATGGATGGACACGCTCCCAGTGTAGATGTCTGTGTCGAGGTCAGGCTCCAGGTGCAGGTCATAATGGAAAGGTACCATGTAGTCAGGTAAGCGGAAGTTGTTCCAGCCACCATTTGTGTTGTCGGATGGTTTACAGGGACCCTGGTCATCGGGCGGCATTGTAGGTAATGGTGTTGTGGGTAATGGTGTTGGTTTGGGTTCCTCTTCGGATGAGGAGGTCTTCTGGCTCAAACCAACTCCGAGCCCCACAGCAACACCTGTCACGATGATGACGGCGCAGATGATAGCAGCATGCTTGCCTCGGATAAAGTACCGCTTTTCCTTCTTTTCGAACTCCAGGCTTTCCATGGCGAGCCGTCAAATGCAGAGAGTCAGAATGTGTACAAACACTCAAAGTTCAGAAAGTCAGAACACTCTCTCCCTGTGAACCCAGACACACACACACACACACTCTATCCTTACACTTCCTTTTGCCTCCAAAGTGAGAAAACAGCTGTGTCTGGTTTCCCAAATGTGTGGACATATGCAGACCCGCACACACTCACGCAGGGCAGCCTGTGGGAGGCACAGAGGTTAAAGCAGGAGGAGGTTAAATTTCACCACAGTCTAAAAAATTGCTCTGATCTCTGTAAGGTCATGGCCACGCGGTTGTCAAAACGGGGGTGATCCTTAAGCTGTAGTGTGGCAAGTCCTCACTCAACAAATCTCATGCTGACAGAGGTGATACTTAGGGTAGAGGGGCTGAATTTGTACCGCCCTTCAGTTAAACATAAATCTAAATATGTTAATCAGCAGTCAAAGAGGAATGATCACAAACAAGCATCAGAGAGAGAAGCGTGGGGGAGGGAGGCATAGAAAAGCAGAGTAAAAATGGAAGGAGTTACTATGAGGAGAGGAAGGGGCTTATGGGAGAGATCTAGGGAATGTTACAAAACTGTCGCAGATTTAAGTGGCTAAAGAAATTATATCCTGGACTGAAACTTTAAATTATGAACAATTTTGTCAGACATTAAAGGCTACAGCAGCTTTAAGTGGAGCTTTAAACACAACATCTTATTTTTAAAGTGACAAATGTTGTGATCAGAGACTTTGAATAGAGAGATCCAAATACAACAACTTTAGATCACATGCACGTTTTCTTCCTCAATGCAGTTTTATTTATTCAACACAACTGATTATAATAGAGGTCTGATCTATCTATTTATAGAGTCTTTAAAGCTCAGGTTAATATTTTTTAAACATCTATACACATACAGCAAGGAAAGTGTTTGTAAATCCTTTGGAATAGAGGTGCCAAAACGTTTTACTCTGTAAAAAAATTATTTATGAAATAAAAAAAAGATTATTGGAGTATTGTCTTTCTACTTCAAAATGTATTGTTAATTCAACTTGTCACTTGTCATTTCTTTCTAATTATTTGTGAAATGTACTAGCAATTCCTGAGTGAAAATTGTTTCAAAGTAAATCCTATATGGATCTGGTGTACACACCTTTTTTTCAGTGTATGAAGGGCCAAAAATCAAACTTGATTGAGGGCATTGGGCTGAAAGTATAATGTTCCGTTAAATCCAACCATATTTTATTAAAATGTATATATATTAAAATAAAATTAACTTCTCCACATTTCAAAGCAAAAAAACCCCCCATAAATTAGAAATAATAATATGCTTCTATGCCATGTTTTTTCCCCCTTTTTGTCATAGGGCATGTCAGGCCAACTTTGGCATCTGTTCTTTAGAATAATCTGCCCTAAAATCTGTGACTCTCATCTAAAGCACATGGATCCATAAAGACTTACTGGAATAATTTACTGCATGTCTTTACAGAATCCTCTTCAATGTGTGTATGTTACATCGAAGTGGATTCATTAAATTTAAAGTAAAAATTTGGATAATTATGTTTTGATAATTTGAGCTATAGATGTTACTATTTAGTGTGATGACAATCAGGTGTGAGTTTGAAAACCATTTTGGGGCTTCTCACGGCTAATTCTTAATAAACCCACATCATGAGTTTCTCAACATGAATATGGTGTAATATTTTACAGGAGCAATCAGGATTTTTTATAGGAGTGCTGCAATGTAGATATGAAAGACTTAGTTAAATCAGTTATCATCAACTTAATTAGTTATCATAATCATAAATCATTTGTTATCATGTTTGTGCGAAACCTTTCTGGTGAATGTAAAATAATAAGGAGTGGTAACAATGGTACTGTAAATGTTTTATCTGGGTGTATGATAAAAGAAACATGGAAGCTGTTACAGTTGTTAAGAAGAATAATCGCTCACTGAATTTCATCACTCCATTTGACTCATTATAAACACCCTAGCAGAAGAACTTAGGTCAGCAAAATGGTCATCTTGGCCCTTTTTTGGCCCTTACTGTGACCAGACCATAAATGGCCAGCCACACATTACAAAAGAGACATTTTTATAAAGCATTCATTTTCTGTTATGCTTGATGTAGCCTGTAAATACTGTATATAGGTCATCTTTAAGCCTACTACTGTTGTACTGTATGTGACTTTTATTAGACTACTGATATGACTAGTGGTTCATGTGAGGGAACATCAATTTTGACACTTTTCAAAAGTACAATTTCAGTTCACTAGCTCCTTTTGTCTTAAAGTGTCTTTAGCTCAGAGCTGTCATCTGGTGGTCATAGCTGAGTAAATAATAAAAAATAACCTCAGTTGAGGAGATGTACACAAGGTTATGGTCATTCGTGTGAAAAAAGAAACTTCCTGAAATTATGTATATATAATTTGAATGTGTCAGGTGTGAATTGACATGGAGACATGAGGTTTTTGTCTTCTTTGCAGTGGATTTTCAGAAGCGATCAAAAAGTGTCTCTGTGGTAGGTTCTGTACAGCTGTCCGGTCTCTTTTCATTTTGTCCCTGCTGGCTTTGGGGATTTTCATGACTCTCTTTGGAGGGGAGAGTGGTCTAGTCATGTTTCGAGGTAACAAAGAAGGTATTGCCTTAGATTTCTGGTTAGGTTTCCTCTTCGTATTGTTTGATTTTGCAGCTGTTTGCTGTTGGTCAGAGTTTTTGGAGTCTGCATATTCAGCCACTACCCCAACCACATTCAGACTGACAATGGCCTCTGAAATACCTGCCATGTTTTGTGCTCTACACTGGTACTCCCCTGCATCGCTATACGATATTCCATTCAGACTGACTGCTGACCAGCGGATTCCCACACGTGGAGATTCTTGTATATCTGCAGGCAGTGAAGTGATTATGTGATCAGACATTAAATCAAATGAATGAAGAGAACACTCACTTACGTGACAGTTTACTAACTCATAAATTTGTCAAACATTTGCACCAGTGTGCTTTGTAAGATAATATTTAAACACAAAGGTTTAAAACCAAGTAGACTACAACTAAAAAGTTAATTATTTTAAGTGTACACATTTCTAATGGTTACTTACAGCCAGAAAGTTTTCTGGGCAATCTTTCAGTGTCCATGCGGCTTTGCATCTGCTTACAACAACCTTAAAATAAAGGAACATATACACTGGAGACCAGAATTCTGATATTATCAGTGAAATTATCAGTAATTTTTAAATGTATTTATTTTTACATATTTTTTTTAAATAATAATTTTAGTTAACAATAACAACACTGGTGTGTATGAAAATATGCCACATGAGTATATAAGAAGATACCTTGTTTATAAAGGTTGGGTATAGCAGATTTGATCCACATTAGTGTTGGGGTCGGGTGTCCTGTAGCTTCACAGCGAAGTAGGACATTGCTACCTAGTAGAGCTGTGATCTTGGTGGCAGAGGTCACCACATAGGGCCTGCGGCAGCGAGTGAGCTCCACGCTCTGAAAGGGAACTCCAGCAAAATCCGGTGGTTCACTACAGGTCAGGAATCGATCCAACAGGACTAGAGAAGTTTCTGGGGCTTTACTAATGTCAAGCAAAGTGGAAAGCCTACAGTCACACACCCAGGGGTTGTCCTGAAGACCTGCGGAAGGGATGAAATGGGTGAGAAAGGGTGATGACACACTGGGTCTAAAGAGGTGTGCACTGATTACATAAGCTGTTCTCTCCAGCATTAATGGACTAATCAGAGTACAGGGCTTTGGTTTCTACTGGAGGAACGCAGTGAGTCATCAAAAGGCTGAAGACTCAGATCGCACTTCGATATCACGTATGTGTCTGTGTGAACCAGTCAGGTTGGGTAAATATTTAATTGCCATGAGACATTAATGACTTAATTTGGTTTCACTGACTTTGGCAGTGTGTGTGTGCATGTGTGTGAACAATTTGTCTAGTAGTTTTGTGAGAGCCAATCAGGGTGTGTTTACTGGGTTGTTATATGTTACAATTTTTAAATTGTTATATTGGCTCACTAAAAACAGCAGGATCCACATGTCAGAAACCACAGAAAATCTGGGATTCAAAATTTAGTTAAAAGGGATAGTTTTTACCCCAAAACTGTATGACTTTCTTTCTTTTGTGGAACATAAAAGAATATATTTTTTGAGAAGCAAGTCGGTGGTCACCGAAAATGTCCAGTTATCAATATTTTTTTAAATATCTTCCTATTCTTCAGAAGAAAGTAAGTAAGGCAAGGTTGGAATAACATGAGGATGAGTAAATTATGACAAAACTTCATTTTGTGTGAACTATTCCTTTAAATTAAGATTTTAGGACATTGGAAACGTTAAAAACAAAGAAACATTATGATGTAAAATAAATGAGAAATAGTTCAAATCTGTTTAAAAGAAATATTGAAGAATAAGATACAACACACCTAAATTTGAAAGTTTTTTTTATTTTAATTTTTTAAGATTTTAAGTATTATACTAATGTTTTACTGTAAAAAAACTTTTAAATTAAACTGCAAAATACGAGTCTTAGTTGATACACCTTTGAACCCCACTGTATATTTAAAGGGGTCATATGATGCGATTTCAAGTTTTCCTTTCTCTTTGGAGTGTTACAAGCTGTTCGTGAATAGATAAGATCCCTAAAGTTACAAAGATTAAAGTCTCAAACCCAAAGAGATATTCTTTATAAAAGTTAAGACTGGTCCACGCCCTCCTAAAACGCCTTGTTTAGACACGCCCCCACATGTCTACATCACGATGTGGGAAGATTTGCATAACACCGCCCAAATGTTCACGCAAAGAAAGAAGGCATAACCTTATTGTTGCTGCCACCGCAGCCGCCATGTTGTGAAGGTGCTGTGTGTTTCATTGTGAAAGCGAAAATACTTTGTTTGGCCTTCCAAAAGAGGACACGACTAGAAATCAGTGGTTAAGTTGTATTTGCAACACTGTTCCAGAACAGTTCAACCCCAAATATTCAGATGTGTGCAGCGCATTTTATGGAGGACCTGATCCTGGTACAATGTTCTGACACACAGTCTGCAAGTATGTTTTCATATTTAAAGAATTTGCCACTGATGATTCAAACGTGAGTTTTGGGCAGTGTAGAGTAGCACTTATTGTTTGTCATTTCTCCGATCACAAATGCAGACATGGTTTTATGTTTACGTGGCTCGATGCAACGCAACGCGTAAAAAGACAGTATAAGTCATTATAATCCGTAATTATGTCCCCACTGGATGCAACAAATGCCTCGTTTATAATGGGTTTTAATGTTTTTGTCTCGTCGCTCCGGCCGGACGGGGCATCACAATATGGTAAGGGGCGTAACATTTCCGTCACACGCTTGAGGTATTCGGCCAATCACAACACACTGGATAGCTGGCCAATCAGAGCACACCAAGCTTTTCAGACTGATGAGCTTTGTAAAAATCAACACGTTTCAGAAAGGCAGGGCATAGAGGAGAAACAATAATGTACAGTATGTGGAAAATAATGTTTTTTGAACCTTAAACCGCGTAAACACATTTCATTACACCAAATAATGTTCTTTTTAGCAGCATCATACGACCCCTTTAAAGTACCTCATATTGTCGCCAGTAGCATATGCTATATCTAGATCACTGATGAGCAGTAGGTTAACTAGTTATCAGTGACTTACATTTGCTTTCTTCATTTTAGATATCATCCTAACAAATGATCTACAGTGTGGTGTTTCACCTAAAACCACTGAGCGCTGGGTCTGAGTGCTGTCACTGAACGGCCAGAGAGCAGTCAGATCGTTGGGCAGGGTGCTCAGCCTGTTGCTCGAGAGGTCCAGGTAAGTCACATTGGCAAGGTAACGCACAGCCAGGGGAGGGATTCGTGCCAGGCGGTTATTGTGCAGTCCAAGTGTTCGGAGGCGGGGCACATCCCTGAGTCCCTCCCAGGGGAAGGAGGACAGGAGGTTCCCATCCAGTCGTAACTCATGAAGCAAAGACAGGTTTGTGAAACTCCTTGGATGAAGAACAGTGATGGAGTTATATGTAAGCCACAAATAAAGCAGTTCTGGCATGACAGAGAAAGCACCTCTGAAGATCCTGGAAACAGAGGTGCGCTCTAGACGAAACTTGACTGCATCACTTGGCAGATCTACTGGAATGGCAGTCAAGGCTGAGTTTTTACAGAGCACAGTTCTAAAGAAAACACAGATTTAATGTTTAATGCCCATCACATTGTTATATACAAATAGAAAAGTCCTTAAAAATAGGGTATCAATACTGTATTGATTTTTCAAATTTTCAATAGTATCAGTGCAGTTAAAACTCTACAGCTTACAAATACACCTGACCTGACTAAAGGCACACTGCGAAAAATAGTAACAAAACAACAAGAAAGTGGAGGAGAGAGTGTGTGGATGGAAGAAGCCAGGAGCACAGACTTAACCAGACAGAAGATTACAGATAACCCATATGACTGTACCTGAATCCCTTGGCATTGCTGCGACCATGGAGCACACAGGTGCACAGAGACGGACATGATGGACTCTGTGCACAGACCACCAAAGCCAAGCACAAAGTAAGGTCTGCATGCAGAAATGGATGCATCGCTTTAGAGACACATAAAGCATCTCACACACTACTGTTCCAAGAAAGAAGTACCACTCTCTGTCTGAGCAGGACTGTGACATTCCCAAATACTGCCGTAGATTAAGACAAACACTAAAAGGATTAGTTCAGATTACTGTGGTGAGGAGCAGATCAACACCTATAGTCAGTGTAGTAAAGAGAGACATGCCCTGGTACTGATGCTATACAATAATAATAGAAGTACAGTGGAAGATCAATTCAATTAAATTTAAAGAATATATGTATCTATAGTGCTGGGTGGCTGATAAAGCTTAGCTTATATAATTCACTGATACAGTAGCAAATTGGATATAGCAACACAAAACTTTCAATAGAATTGCAAGGCAATGCAAACTTCACAATGCAAGTTTGCACATCTATCACTTTGATTGCAATTGTATTAATTTTTCCATCTTTAATTATAAATATATCGTTTTCTTTCACAAATGGAAGTGGAAGCGGAGTAATTTGTATAATTTGACATATAGCTGGGCCCTTTTGAAAGTCTGCTTTATGAAGTTTCAAAACATGATTCTTTTGTTTTTAATCAATGGTTTGGAGCTTGTTTCAAACCTGTGTGTCAAATCACATGATTCTTGAAAACTGGTCTTTGTTACATCATAATTTTCAGAATGTTGGTTTCAAAACATTTCAAAATTCTGTTTTGGATTGACTTTTCAAATTTTATTTAAAAAAGATCCCCAAACTTTTGTATCAGTCGAAACTTGTGCTTTCTGTTGACTCTTTTGAAAGCAGACCCTTTCATATTAAATTTATAATTAATTTATTACTTTTTCTTGCAAAATTCTAGATTCATAAATGTCAATTTCAAAGAAAATGCATTTTTATTTTCCAGAAAGATATGATGTATATTGAATTCTTTAAGGAACTCTGACAACTTAAATGCCTCTAAAACCAATCTATGGTGTAATAAAATATAATAGAATTTGTCACTAGTCTGAATTGATCAGTTGAATCTCTAAATGAGTGTCTAATGATTTAACTGATCTCAAGTCAGTTTTATAATGCAAGTTATATATATTTTTAATAATTTATATAATGAATTATACTACTGATGTCTGTATAATACAGTTTGTGTATTATATACATACATAATTCAAAAAGGGAAATGCTATTATGTAAATATAATTGTAAATGCTTCCAATGAAAGCATCATTTTGCCTAATAACATAATACAATTACTATAGGCTACACGTTAATAAAACAAAACAAATTATACAGAACCTTGATATTTAATGATATTTCATTATTTGTGGTCTAAATTACATTTAATAGATTATGCTTTCAGGAAAACATTTGTGATTGGTTTGTGAAAGCTGTTATGTTTACGTTTTCGTTGCATGCACACCATTTTGACCAGGGGTGTATTCTAGAAAGCAGGGTTAACTTACCGTCAGCTAAACCCTGAACTTTCGGTTGATTAACCCCAAATCTTGCTTACTCGAGATATGTGGTTCCAAAAACGCGTCCGGGAGTAAGTTCATTCAACTCAGAGTATGTTCCTGGTTAAAGGGGTCATATGATGCTGCTAAAAAGAACAATATTTGTGTATTTGGTGTAATGAAATGTGTTTATGCGGTTTAAAGTAAAAAAAAAAAAACACATTATTTTCCACATACTGTACATTATTGTTTCTCCTCTATGCCCAGCCTTTTTGAAACGCGTCGATTTTTACAAAGCTCATCGGTCTGAAAAAGCAAGGTGTGCTGTGATTGGCCAGCTATCCAATGCGTTGTGATTGGCCGAATACCTCAAGCGTGAGACGGAAATATTACGCCCCTCACATACTGTTGATGCCGTGTCCGGCCGGAGCGACGAGACAAAAACATGAAAACCCATTACAAACGAGGCATTTGTTGCATCCAGTGGGGACATAATTACTGATTATAATGACTTATACTGTCTTTTTAAAACGTAAACATAAAACCCTGTCTGCATTTGTGATGGGAGAAATGACAAACAACAAGCGCTACTCTACACTGCCCAAAACTCACGTTTGAATCGTCAGTGGCAAATCCTTTAAATGAAAACGTACTTACAGACTGAGAGTCAGAACTGCCGGCATTGTAGTCTACTCTTCCAGGATCAGGAAACAGTCCTCCATAAATATGAATACCCACCTGAATATTTGGGTTAGACTGTTCTGTTACAGTGTTGTCAATACAACTTAACCACTGATTTGTAGTCGTGTCCTCTTTTGGAAGACCAAACAAAGTAGTTTCGCACCGAAAAGCACGGCGGCCTAGCGTGAGCGGAAGCCGAGAATATGAATTATATTGTTTGTTTGATGCTAATTATATATTAAGTCACATCAGATATGTATTTTGATTTAGAATTTAGACATTATAGAAAATGCAAATCCATGTGCGAGATGATAATATAAAATGTATTAAATAAATATAATATATTAAACATGACCTTATCATATTGTTTTATAATTTATACAGATAACTGTTATATATGGCAATAAAATAAATAATAACCATATTAGAATAAAATATTACCTTATTTATTACTTATATTAGCGCTTCATCATTAACATATCATACAAATATATATATAGATATAATCGGCTATATTACATATTGTAGTATTGTATAATGTTGCTGCCACGCCCACTAAAGGATCGTCAATAGATCACACGTGCGCTGAAGTGAACTAACCCTGGAGCATAACCATAGACTGTATAAAAACAAGTTACTATGGTTACTTACATACCCTGAAAGTAACCTCCGATTTTGGAACCGAAGGCTGAGGTTATCCGCTCGCTTATCCTCAAACATATCCTGGTATGTCACATAACCTGCTTTTTGGAATACCCCCCAGCAGGTGCCGCTAGTCTGTGGTGTTTCGAGCGCTTAGAAATAGTAAATGTTTTTGGTAAACAACTGCTTCAGTTGATACAGAAAGATTCGTTTCTTTCAAAACTACCTGTACCGAGAAGGTACGCATACGCGTTTTCTCTCTCGCTATGGTGAGTGGGAAGTGAAGAAACCCGGAGTGGATCCACGGTGGCGTGATTACAGAGCGCTTTCAGCGACAGACACTCTTGTTCTCTGCCGCTCCGCTCCACTTACACACAGAGCTCCACTCCGGCTTTCGTTCTGCGTTGCTTGGTAACTAACGTTACCTTGATGCTTTGGCTTCTTGTGGAACTATTTTCGTTTGCCTAGAAGTAGTCGAACTAACTTTCCAGTTTCGTCTGCTCAATAATTGTGGCTACAATAAGGTAGATATATATTTAATTAAATAGATGGATAGATAAATAAATACTCCATCCTGCCATGATTCACAAGGTGGTGTTGGAGTCCCTCCCTCTGCTCTCAGATGACTGCAGCAGCAGACAGCAGCGCTCTCTCTCTCTCTCTCTCTCTGACCGACAGCAGCAGAAGCATGGCGGCGGTGGAGACACGGGAGTGCGAGACGGAAGGCTGTCGCAGCGAAGCTAAGCTCCAGTGTCCCACCTGCATCAAACTCGGAATTCAAGGCTCATACTTTTGCTCTCAGGTGAAGCTCTGACACTTTGCTTTGAGAATCAAGCGAAGCGCTCGGGCTTTCTCGCTCATGTCACGCTGCCGGCCTAACGTTACGGGACTGAGCTCAGCGTTAGCTAGCTAGCTGCCTTGCATCACAAACAGGCACTTTAAACCCTACTCTGAGCTTTGACGTTTACATCAAAGTTTTGTGCGTGATGATTTTCTGGATGACAGATTTGTCTGAGATGTTTAACCCTAAACACGGAGTGGAAATGTAATTTGCCAGCGGTTTCTTTGCTCCGCATGCTTTAAATGACTTCAGCTCAACGTGGCTCGCGTGCTGCTCGGTTGTCAAATCATCACATCAACCCTTTACTTATTTTATTTGCAATTTCTAAATATTTAGGACCAAAGGATGCGTAAATTGGTGCAACCTGTAAGAAAATGTAGCTCTAAACCTACCGCTTTTCATTCTCGTATGATTTTTCTTTAGGCACTCCTAGCCTGGGGTGGAGGTTTCAAACCCTAGTGAGCTACCTATCTAGACAGCATTGTGGGCATCATAAGTGTTTTATGAGTCACTTGCCCGTGATGGTTAAAAGGGCTGTCTAGGTTGGCAGCTCACTGGGCTTTGAGAGAAAACTTAGAAGTGCTCAAAAAATTGAAATGTCTACATAGACAGCATTTTGGGCATCATATATATATATATTTTTATGCATACGCTCAAAAATGCTGTCTAGGTAGACAGCTCGTTATATTTGAGTCACCTCCCTGGACTCTAGCGTCTGTTGCAGGGCAGATCTGCTGTCCTGCTTGCTGAGTTAAGAGGCTGGTATGATGACAGGGTGCTGCCAAGCCCAATATCTGATTTGACCATCTGATTCAAACTTTCGCCCTAATTAGATGAGCCGCTGTAACTCATCCTCATGTAATTCTAAACCTGTATGAATTTCTCTCTTCTGTGGAACACTTCTATGTTTCATACATTTCATAAATTGCAAGTCAATTGTGTTCAATGTAGTTTGGCCCCCGTCATTCTTGAGAATATCCCGTTTTATGCTCCACAGATGAAAGTAAGTCATATATGAGAATTTTTATATTTGAGCGAGCTATCCGTCTGATACCGTAAAATGGTGCAGAGATTTGTGATGTATTATATGTGAAATTCCTTGTAATTGTGCTAAAGTATAGGCTTCAAGTATGTTTATGGACTTCCTATTTAAATAGGAAGTTGGAGCAGGACATATCAAAAGGTTTCTGTCTTTTTTGTAAAATAACCAATAACCATTAGTTTACATTACAATTGTGAACCTTGGTTATTTATTGTTAAGTAGAATTTTTGCATTTGTTGCAAGATCGTCACTTGTCAACAAAATATTTGATCTGTTTCTTGGAAGAGTGTGTTAAATTTTAATGAATAAAAATTAAGTATTATTAACAGATGCTAAAATATACACTATGTTCAAAAGTTTGAGGTTGGTAAGGGTTTTTCATATTTTTGGAGAAGTCTCTTATGCTCACCAAGGCTGCGTTTATTTGATCAAAAATACAATAAACACAGTAATGGTATTAATGAAGTGTTATTATAATTAAAAATAACTCTTTTATTATATGTTCAAATATAATTTATTCCTGTGATGACACAGCTACATTTTCAGCAGTCATTATTCCAGTGTAACATGATCCTTCATTATAATATGCTGATTTGCTGCTCAAAAACATTTATTATTATCAGTGTTAAAATGGTTGTGCTGCTTAATATTTTTGTGTAGAAACTGTGCTATCTTTTCAGGATTCTTTGATGATAGAAAGTTCAAAAGAACAGCGTTTATTTGAAATACACATCTTTGTAGCATTATTAATGTAATTATTGCCGCTTGTCTCAGTTGAGTGCATCCTTGTTGCATCAAAGTAATATTTTCATTCAAAAAGCTTTTGAACAATAGTGTAATTTTGTACACTAACATATAAATGCCTCAAAGCTAACAGACATTACATTTTATGGGCTCTTTAAGAATTGATGTTGTGTGAGTAATAACTTGAGTTTTGTATGTTTTCAGGAATGTTTCAAAGGCAGCTGGGCCACCCACAAACAGCTCCACAAAAAAGCAAGTATGTAGTGTGTTTTATTCACTCTCAATGTTGAGTAATGTTCAGTTCTGCATAGGGATGTAATGATTACCGGTTTGACGATAAATCATGATCAAATTCCCCTCGGTTAGTATTACCGTTTCATCTTTTAATTATCATTAAAACCGTATTAGATTACCGCGATTTGAACTACTCGTGATAAATAAATACTGTCCAGCATAAAGCACAGTTTTAAGTAACCGTCTCACGTGCACGCAGAGTAGTTTCATTTTGAGTGAAAACGGAAAAAAAGAATTATACAAATGAATATATTAATGATTTAATTATATGAATGTACCTCTGAAGGTTCTGACTGTCTTCAGAAACGATTCGATGGCATTTTGTTTTCATCTTCGCTCCATGTAATAGGGTTGTGACGGTGAGGAAATTTTCCCACCGGTTAATCGACGTGTGACAACACCGATAATACCAGTATCTCCGTGGGGGCAGGGGCGTTTCCTCTTTTCCTTGCTTTCCTTTGCCTATAAATAGCTTGCAAAAGCAGCGTGCACATTTTACTTTCACTTTCAAATAGCGGCAATTCGGCATAAAGCAATTGTTCGTTTTTAGTTCATTTGAATTTTCTCTCTTTTCCTTGCTTTCCTTCGCTTTTAAATAGCTTAAAAGCACCGTGCGCATTTTACTTTCACTTTCAAATTCGCAGCAATTCGGCGTCAATTGCTTGAATGCAACAACAAAATACAATGTCAAACTCACATTAGCCTGTTTTTATGCATGACCGGGTGTTAACCATATTTTCTACTGATTGAGAGAGGAAATACTGCAGTATATTGACTTAGAATGCCCTATTTTACTGTCATGATGAGTGAATATTGTCAAAAAGTAACACACTATATAGTGAATAAACATGACCCCTTTTAATACATGTTAACCAGGAGTCACTCTCATCTGATAAAATCAATATGCATCTATACTAAAGAGCGGCTATGCGGTTGTTTTGGCTATATACTTTGCGTCTCATGCAGCGCACTGCCTGCGTCTGAGTAACAAACCAAAAAAAAAAAACGAACAAAAAAGTGCATGTGATATTAACAGACGAACTATGCTCATATTTATAATTCCAAACAATCAGTAAGCGACAGATGCTAGGAAATGCTGTTTTGTACTCATTTATTGACGAGTCGGCTGCAGTGCGGCCAACTGAATGTGCGGCTTCTCTGCCGCTCACTGCACAGAACAGGTGACACTTCTCCGGGAAAGTCAGACCTCGCGTTCGCGGGACAGCACTGGCAAAATCTTCCAACTGAACCATAGCTAAGGTTTATCCAAAAAAATCGCTAGGTTTGTCAGTATGAATATTCTATGGAAAAAAGCCACTAAATGGGTCTGAAAGTTGATTAATCTAGTGCTAAAGTCGCGGTCGTGTGTGTGTGAGACGCGGAAGCTGATGGCAGGGGGCGGTGGATATTTGTGGCGGTCAATGTGGATATTGTGGATGAGTTCTTCTGTGTCATCACATTCTATTAGTTCTACAGCTTCAGTTTCGGAACTTTCACGCTTAGTAACACATACAGCTGTTCCCTCACCACAGTGCAACAGTGAAAAGGGACTTCTTTCAAACAGTGTCGCGTTCCGAACGTTGTTTAAGCGACGTACACCGGTATTGCGGTATTTAAAAAAGTCATATCATATCAAAAATAAACACAGGTGTTCGGTATGAACCGGTATACCGCCCAGCACTACCTTGATGTCAAATAAAATAAATAAATTACACAAAGTTTAAATAAAGTAAAAATCAGCAAACACTGTGGAACCAGTTAAATAAGAAACAAATGTTTAAAAGAACTTCAGAAATCACCTTAGATAAATGGCAAAAGTCAACAGGCTTTTCAAAATCCAAAATATTTCATTTTGCATTTCGTTTAGAAACTGAATCATCTGTGATCGTCTTGTCTGTCTCACCTCACTCTTCTTGTCAGTCAGCTCGACTCACTCTCCTCACTGGAGAAATTAAATCTGATCTGTGATGCGACTGTCGTTCGGCACGCTGCATTGAGCAGCTGCGTTAAGTTTTTAATTGTAGTGTCTGTTCTTTTACTGAACTAAATGATTTTTATTACTATAAAAAAAATCTAAACGACGGTGGAGGTCGGTGCCGCGGTGGGCAAGTGACGTAGCCGGTGTTGCGGCTTAACAACAGTATCACTGTCAGCACCTTCTATCGTGGCAAGCCTACCATGTAATACCTGAAGGAAGTGTTCTTAATCGCAATACTGCTTTGTCCACGGAGGTTACGGCAAACAGCTCTAATTCAGCTTTTCCATAAGCGCCACCTGCTGTCAGCGAGTGGATTTACAGAGACTTATATTTACATTAAGCCTGTGTGCAGTTTCTGTCTGGCCAAAAACGGACCTAATTTGCATGCTCTGCTGTAAATTGACCGGTTGATGAAAAACAAGCTTATGTGGATTCTACACATTTAAACAATTCAGATAAGTTATCTAGAATTATTTATGGAGCAGATAAAATGCATATAATAATTTATTAATCAATTATCATTTTGACTATCATATAAAACAAACATATCTTTTCTTTATTTAAAGGCTAATATGTGAGGTTTACCTTTTTATGAAACTTTTTCAAAGCTTTATTTGAACGTTTTCATTAGATATTTCAACATGCTATTAAACTGTTGTCATTTAAAATCCGAACATCATGGTAATGTGTTATTGTTTTAGTGATTATGCAAACAAAAAGTCATTTTATTTGTTGTTTGTTGATTTTTAAATATAAAACTTGGTGAAGTGATTTATGTGTCTGTACTTTTTGAACATCTCCAGCACATTTGAACAATACCGTGATAATACCGATAGCCGTGATAATTTTGGTCACTATAATCGTGATAAGAAATTTTCATACCGTTACATCCCTAGTTCAGCATTTTGTATGTGGAATACAGATCATGTCTTGTATAATCATTAATATCTGGCTTTTCCTTTACAGAGGAGGACAAAATAAATGATGAGGGAAAGAACTGTGTGGAGAAAGAAATCAACACAGACCCGTGGCCCGGGTACAGATACACTGGTAAACTGCGACCCCACTATCCACTGGTAAGGACGCATGATCATTGACCTGAGTATGATAATTACAGCACACATACATTTGCATAGAACAAAACAAGTTTCTGCATTCACACATTTAGTTTCATCTCTTTTTCTTGGTTGTTTTCAGACTCCCATGCGGCTTGTTCCTAGCAGCATCCAGAGACCAGACTATGCAGATCATCCTTTGGGTAAGATTGCAAATCACTTCACACATAATTTAGACCTCATTCTGTAAATTATGCACTGCAAATCTCAGATCAACCTCTGTCATCTGGACTAGCTTTCTTGCTCCATGCCCTTTATCTGAGGCATTGCACATTTCTAACAGACTGCCCTGTTCATTATTAGACCTGTGTGAAGTTTAAAGTTTTGCTGAAGTACTGTTCGATTTGTAAACGGAGGAGTGTTTGCTGCAGTAGCACACGTCTGACCAGATCAACCACAGTTTCATGGAAATGTGCATCAAGATGTGCAAGAATTACCTCTGTTTACAGAAAACTCTAACTTTGTTTTTTGTTTGGTATCTCGTTGGTACATCTTTATCATCATTATTATTTGGAGATTAATGCTCTCATAATCATTAGATTATGAAAGGAGGCCCAAATGCTTTATGGTGTGTTTCAGTGTAGTTGATCTTAGTTTATTTATTTGGTTAGTTGGATACGCATCATGACTAAAAGGTTTCTTATGGTGTTACATATTTGGCCCTAGAAAGTATACGAACACATAAACCAAAACCACGCCTACTGTATGACTTTCACAAATCCTCCAATTTAATTAGGACTATGTTAAACTTGAGGAGGTTTGGTCATTTGTTTGTGAAAGTGTTTTTGTGGTCCTTATCTTGTCTGAATCAAGCAAATCAAACCTTTAAGAAGTAAAAATAAAAACAGCAATATTGTGAAATATTATTACATGTTGAGAAAACTGTTTTTTATTTTAATATGTTAAAATATTGTTTTTTTCCTGTGATGCAAAGCTGAATTTTCAACAGGCATTACTTCAGTCCTAAGTGTCACATGATTCCTCAGATATCATTCTAATATGATGATTTGCTACTCAATCAATTCTTATGATCAATGTTGAAAACAGTAATGTTTAATAGTTTTGTGGAAACAGTGATAATTTTTTTTAAATAGATGACTAGACAGCTCAAAAGAACACCATTTATTTGATGCAAAAATTTTCTCTAATATTGTAAATGTATTTTTACTTTAATTTAATGCATCTTTACTGAATAAAAGTATTAATTAATTAAAATATATTACTGACTACAAACTTTAAACATTAGTGTATAAATGGCATTTTTTTAAAAAGACAGATTATCAATAACCTGCTAGTTACTCTGCTTGTGTGTCTGTGAACTGTGAAAAATGTGAAGCTCTTAGAGAAGGTAATATTTATTGCAATGAAATGCATAATGTTTGTGTGACTTAAGTGTCCGAATACTTTTGGGGGCACTGTAAAGGATATTTCAAATGATAATATATGTGTCTTTGTATAGAAGAGAGATTACACAAACACTTTTTTTCTTTCTTATAGTATAGAAGCATCTCTCATGAATCACTGTTTTGTGAATAAATGCTTATTTGTCCTTCATTAGCGGATGCTGCAGAGTCTTCTCGTAAGTAACCATTATGGTGGTGATTAGTTGCTATTAGGCTCCTGTAGTTACAGCCTTTCATTCCTTTGTTATTAGCTCATCCTTGAGTCTCCGGGCCCCGGCTTTCACACAGTAGAAAAGTGATGTATTGAAAAAGCCAGAAAAAAGTTTTAGAATTTTTATCATATGTTAATGTAAAAACTCTTGTGTATTATACCTTGTGTTTGTTTGTATGCTGGTTTTTATTGTATTTGTTATACTTGTATTTTTTAAATAGTTTTTGCAATGAAAATAGCCTTAGATGCTGACATGGCATTAAATAAATATATACTATACTATTGAAAAAGCCTAATGTCTTCAAAAGCATCCAGTGGTTAGGTCAGGACTCAGGAGTGTGTGCCTATCTTTAGGACTTCTTTGTGAGAGCGTGTGTGTGATGGTCCTGAAGTCACCTTATACACGTTTCCATTTACCTCCGTGTGTGTGTGTTGGGGGTGGGCTGCTGCAGTGTGTGTCTGAAGCTCTTCTCTCGCTCTCTGCAGCTGCAGAGGTTGGGTTGTTGGCAGGTACGAAGTCCCGCCGCTTCCCATGTGTGTCCAGTGTGTCCGGTGATGTCCTCTTGTTTAAACAGTATTACAAAGAGCGGTTTGCTCCACAGTGAGTGTATGAGTGTATATTTGTGAGCAAGAGTGTGTGTCTGTGTAGTAGCATGGCTCTGTCTGTTTCTGCATGGCTGATGTCGTTAATCAGCTGGGGCTAGAGTTGGGTGATATGACCATTGTTGTATTTGTATCGATATTTATTTTTGTTGGGAATTCAATGGAGAATGGTTAAATTTGGTTTGCGTTACTTCCCTTATTTTTATTTATTCATTTTTTGCACATCCTGCTAGGGGTGTGCGATATTGAAACAAAAAGATATCTTGATATTTTCTGGAATTTTATCGATAACTATAATTAGACAATATTTTGCTGAGTGTGTTATTGTGCTGACATCTTAAGGACTTCCGTGCACAGCTGACTCCTAATGTTTTTGATATTCTCCATATTCTGTGTGGTGGTTAGTTCACAGCAGTGATAGAAAGTAGCTAATGTTTTTCAATGAGTTTAAATAGATTTTTACCTTTTATGGGCATTTGTAACTTTATAAAGCCATTTTCTTTTTCTAAAAGTGTGAATCATCTTTTGAGTCAAATTCTTACGTTTAATCAGTCGGTTAGAATAAGACTCTTGGGCTTTTACCAGGCAAATTAAATCAGTATCAACAAAATTGATCTTTGCAATGCAGAGGAAACACAGAAGCTGCATCTGAAGTGGCATTTAGATGTATTTACACAGTTTAATGCAGCTCAGAGGGACATGGAATGATTTAACCTGCAGTTACAAATGCATAAATAATGTTTTGCTATGATTTTAAAAAAAAAGAAAGCAAGAAAAGATCATTTAAATGTGAAATTAAAAATGCCAATAGGTGGCAGCAAGTCACTGTTAATAAGTGAGTCATTGCGATTGAACCGAATGATTTTAAATGGTTGATTCATTCAAGAACGAAACACGTCATGTTGTTTAGAGACTGTGCTTCTGGTTCTGTTTGGAATAATTTTTGTTGTCGAAATAGAGCAAAAACAGGCAATATGGTGTCTAAAACGTAAGTCTCTTAATATTAACTTGTTAATTGAACTGTTGTATAAAATCAATATTTTGAATTGTTAATTCAAAATGTATTTTAATAGACTGAATCACGCAGTGAAAGAACGCACTCGCACTAGTCTAACCTACTAGACTTTATCACGTCACGTATGTGTGCACTCTGTAGTTGTTTTGTTTGTTTTTTGTAATATACTCGATAATGTCAAATCTCACATCATTAAAACAACAATTAAGATATTATCGCAGACAATATATATCGCACACCCCTACATCCTGCTCTGTCTTTTTGCATTACTCTGAACTCCTTTGTTGCTTTCAATGTAAATAAAGCAGTTGTGGCAATTGATAGCAATCAAATGTATCCACCTTGGTGCAATGGTCAAAAGTTTGGAATAATTAAGATATTTTGATGTTTCTGAATGCTTACCAAGGTTGCATTTATTAAATGCAGTAAAAAAACAGCAATATTGTTAAATATTATTATAACAATTTAAAATAGCTGTTTTCTGTTTGAATGTATTTTTAAAATGTCATTCATTACTGTGATTGCAAAGCTGAATTTTCAGCATCATTACTCCAGTCTTCAGTGTCACGTGATCCTTCAGAAATCATTCTAATTTACTGATTTGCTGCTCAGTTTATCAATATTTAAAATAGTAGTGCTGCCTTATACACTGGTCTTTACACTGGCTTCCAGTTATTTTTAGGATTTTAAAGTACTTTTACTCATTTATAAATCACTCAATGGCATAGGACCTAAATACATTGCAGATATGTTCACTGAATATAAACCTAACAGACCACTCAGATCATTAGGATCGAGTCAGTTAGAAATACCAAGGGTTCACACAAAACAAGGGGAGTCTGCTTTTAGCTATTATGCCGCCCACAGTTGGAATCGGCTTCCAGAAGAGAACAGATGTGCTAAAACATTAGCCACATTTAAATGCAGACTCAAAACTCATCTGTTTAGCTGTGCATTTATTGAATGAGGACTGTGCAACGTCAGAACTGATTGCACTGTATTTTATGTATAATTTTCTATTTTTTAACTGTTTTAAATTAATTTAAATTCAATTTCTAAATAATTTAAACAGTTTAAGTTCGCTGTTTTATTGTTGTTGCTTTTATGTTAAGCACTTTGAATTACCATTGTGTATGAAATGTGCTATATAAATAAACTTTCCTTGCCTTATAATTTTAAGGAAACTGTGACAAATTTAGCATCCTTGCTAAATAAAACTATTAATTTCTTAATTTTACCACACATTTTTCAGTGGTAGTGCATGATGTTTTCCACCAAAATATTAAGCAGCAAAAACTGTTTTCAACATTGCTAATAATAAGAAATGTTACTTAAGAAGCAAATCGGCATATTAGTATGATTTCTGAAGGATCATGTGACACTGAAGACTGAAATAATGATACTGAAAATTTAGCTCAGGAATAAATTACTTTTTATAATATCATAGACAATAAGTCTCTTATGATGAGGGTATGAGTATTATTTCAATAACATAAAAAAAAATCATAATTATTCCAAGCCTTTGATCGGTACAGTATATAAAATCTCTATCTTCACTGCCACACGATATATAGAGTCATATCGCCCAGCCCTAGCAGGAACTGAACGTGATTACGCCATTGCCAAACTGTCATGTCCCAGACCTCACTGGATCAGCGACCATGTGTGTGTGTTTTTATCTGTAAGAAGTGGTTGTGTTGTCTTCATTAGCTGACTGGAGACCGTGCTGTTGAGATTCTGTTGTGGTGAAGGTCAGTAGGCAGAGCTAGTGCATATATTTGAGTGATAGTAAGATGCTTTTGTGGGTAGATGGGTATCTGTGTATTTCACTGCTCACCAATTCATCAATTCATCACTGCTTGCAGGAATGTCAGAGTCAGAGCAGACCATGAAAGGGACGTCTCAGATTAAGATCCTCAATGCTGAAGAGATTGAGGGCATGAGAGTTGTCTGCAAGGTAAACCAACATCATAACTTCACACATGATAACCTTTGTATAAAGAATAATAATTGAAATGCAGCAGTTGAAATTTTAAGTGTTGCGAAAGCCATTTTCTGCCTTTATTTAAATGCCAGTTGTTCTGCCTCAGTTTGTTCTGCCACTAATTTTAGTTGAGAACCCCACTTGGTTACACAAGATAAATTTACAACATTTATGCAAATATGCTGAAAAATTGTCTAGTGGGATGGCAGGCTGTCAAGTCTATCATGAGCACAAGTACATAAAAGACATTTGAATAATAAAGACAATGTTTGTTTCCTTCAGCTGGCTCGAGAAGTCCTTGACATTGCTGCCATGATGGTGAAACCTGGAGTGACGACGGAGGAGATCGACCATGCGGTGCATTTGGTAATAATTCACAGCCTTTTTACTTTTTCTAATCTAAATTTTACAAAGTGGTAGTCTGATCATAGCAAAATGTTTAAATACAGGTTATCTAAGAGAAAGGTGAAATTGCTTATGCATTCACATGAATTTTTTTTTTTTTATTTCTTCTAAATCAGTGGTTGGCTTTGACTCCAAGGCCCACTTTGTCCAAGAGGCCCTGCTATTTAAGCTGTACATTTGGTACTTTTGTTAAAGTAAAAATGAAAAACTCAGAAATACGTTGCCAGTTTGTTATTTTTGTTTTATGTTGTTTTGTATTAAGATTGTTAATATAACAAAATTTAAATAATTTTAGGACATCTCGGGGGTCCTCTTGGAAGTTTGCCGAGGCCTCCTGGTTGAGAAGTCTGTATGAATGTTGATGCTAATGCCAAACGATTTGTCCATATTTGTTGGTTAAGGCATGCACAGCGAGGAACTGCTACCCCTCACCTCTGAACTACTACAACTTTCCCAAGTCCTGCTGCACCTCTGTCAATGAAATCATCTGTCATGGGATCCCTGACCGCCGTCCCCTCCAGGAGGAGGACATACTGAATAGTATGTATCAGCATACATGTGAACATAGTATATGGATGCATCTTGCTGGCGTTACTTTATGGGAGATCTGATCTTTGCACCCAAGAGGGCTGTTTTAAAGGGATAGAATCACCCTCCCTCTAAATTGACATTGTATTTCATATTTCAGTTAGTCCAAATGTCAGATAAACATTCAGTGGACATTCAAGATTTGTGCGTGACTGATTTTCCACATGTTCACATTTCTGTGAATGCATTGGCTTGTTCTTGCAGAACTCTGTCCAGACTGATGTTTTTTTCCTTCTGCTCATTTTAAGTCCCATTGTCAAAATGCCATATTATTAAAGCTGTTTATTCTTGTTAATGCCATACTAGATAAGTAAACTAAACAAATGACCAGTGACGTGTAGATCTCTTTATTCCTAGCTACGTGTTTTGTCATTGATCACCTTAATTTAAATATCATAGGCTACAGCACAGAGAACTGCTTCTATGTACATTTAATGCCAAATTTACACTGAACAGACCTCACGCTGAAGGCAGTATCCAGAGCCAGATGGAATCTGCAGCTTTTTTTTTTTTTAGCTTACTTTGCACAGAGTGTGAAAAGCTGTGGAATGGATTTCTGCTAAATGCAGAGTACTTTGCTCATAATAGTAGCTGAAAGCATAATCATATAATTTTGTATCAGTTTGTGTAGTTTTCTACAGAGTTCTGTGTAACATATGCAGAAAAAAAATCTTCAGTCTTAAGGTAAATTGCACTAAATGTTCACTTGGCCAATCATATGTTACTTTTTTCTTGCAGTCGACATAACAGTTTACCACAATGGTTACCATGGAGATTTGAATGAAACCTTTTTTGTGGGTGAAGTGGATGAGGGAGCCAAGAGATTGGTTCAGACCACTTATGAATGTCTTATGCAAGCCATCGATTCCGGTGAGTATGAAAGCACATGCAAACAACAATAACAATTCAACAGACCCTGTGTTATGCGAGTTTGACATTTGGCCTACATGATATAGTACAGTATGTTTTTCTGATGTGATGTGCATTAATGACCTTTAGAGGGCAGACTTGCACAGAGGGATGTCTGTGTTGTGGTCTGAAGAAGCTTGTTTCTGTCTTGTCTAGTGAAGCCTGGTATCCGTTATCGTGAGCTGGGAAACATCATCCAGAAACACGCACAGGCTAACGGTTTCTCTGTGGTACGGAGCTACTGTGGCCACGGCATTCACAAACTGTTCCACACGGCACCAAACGTACCGCACTATGCCAGTGAGTAACATTTTGTAAAAAAGAGACAGTCTGAATGATACAAGCATTACACACTGTGATGTAATCGAAACTGCAGAGAGTGCAAACACTCATAAAGCTTGAACTGTCTTTGTTTTATGTATTTCTACAGAGAATAAAGCAGTAGGAGTGATGAAACCTGGTCATGTATTTACTATTGAGCCCATGATCTGCGAAGGTTAGAGACAAATCACAAAATAATTTTCTTATCTATCCAAATTGTGCACTTGTTTAGAATTTTTTTCTTTTAGAAAAAAATTATTTATTTATTTGTTTTTTTAAATAGGGCTGTCAAAGTTAATGCATTCAAACATGTGATTGGTTGGTTCATTTACACTGCCCCTTAAAGCTTTGGGGTCAGTAAGATTTTATTTTGTAAGAAATCATTACTCTTATTTAGCAAAGACCCATTAAATTGATCAGAATTTCAATTTCAAATAAATATTCTTTTGAACTTTATATTCATTGAAGAGTCCTGAAAAGAAAACATCTAATGGTTCCTCAAAATATTAAGCCACTCAACTGTTTTCAATATTGATAATGAGAATAATTGTATCTTGAGCAGCAAATCAGCATATATTAGTATGATTTATGAAGTATCATGTGACACTAAGGACTGGAGTAATGATGCTGAAATGATTCAGCTTGGCATCACAGGAATAAATTACGCTTGAAAATATATTCAAATAAAAAAAAATCTTTTTTTTAACTGATACTATTAACTATAGAAGTCAATTGCAAGTCAAAATCAATTACTTATTTAAGAGTCTTTGCTCTGTGCAGGTGGCTGGCAGGATGAGACGTGGCCAGATGGTTGGACTGCAGTCACTCGTGACGGTAAACGCTCAGCCCAGTTTGAGCACACGCTCCTCGTGACAGAGACAGGCTGTGAAATCCTCACGCGCCGCCTCGAGGATAATGGCCGTGCTCACTTCCTGTCCCAAATGTAGAATGGTGGGGTCATATCAGCCCTATTCTGCAGTGGAGGATACAACAGCTCCGCCCCATATCACCAATCAGCCAATCACACAGTGGGTCTCTGTTGGGCAGGAGATGATTGGCCACATGGCCGTGACAGTGGATTTGGGCAGGAGATGGAGATTTGTTAACTTCTGAATGTGTCACCTGACAGTCACATTAATCAGCTTGGATCTGAGTAAATTCAAAGGCACTGGCCTTTAACCTGGTTACAGTGCCGCCACACTCTGTCTTCAGGGCAGAGGTATCTGTGTGAGTGGTTTTGCGTGTGTGCACTTGTGTGTTTGAGAGAGCGTGTCAGCTGTGTGAGGTCCGCTGTCTCGGTCTGCTTCAGTGTTTGTATGCCTGGCTCATTGCAATGTACCATGTTTGTTTTGTTGGGGTTCGAGGTGCAACGAGTGTATGTGATAAAACACTGGAGTCTCTCCAAATCTTATCAAATCATGATTGATATATAAAAACTCTTTACAGCTGAAAGAGTGCCTCGTAACGTTATTGAACATTTTACAAATGTTTTTCATGAACTTTTACCAGCGTTCATAAGGTCCAATTAAATTGATCTTGTTTGAGTGACTGTGTCAATGAACATCTAGGAAACATTAGGTCAAGTACGCCAGCGCAGCTCTCTGAGGTAAAAAAAAAAAACATTAAACTCACACACAGAAGAATTGCAAGCACTGAAAGCTTTTAAACAAGCAAGTTAATACATGCACTTTCTATATACGTGTCAGTTGAGGCTTACCGATACTTCAGTGTTGCCCACACACTCGAGTGAGAAATCCACTCCTCCATTGGTAAGTTCTGCCAGTACTTCAGAGATGGGTTTATTATATGCCTTTGGATTCAGAAAATCAGTGGCACCGAAGACCTTTGCCTTCTCAAACTTCTGCTCATTAATATCCACAGCAAAGATACGGGAGGCTCCGGCGTTTTTACAGCCCATGACTGCAGCCAGACCTACTGCACCCAGTCCAAACACTGCACACACTGAGCCTGGTGTGACCTTCACACAAACACAAATTAATTACTAGTGTAACGCACCTTAACATTCACCTTACTGTTCAAGCCACAGCTATTTGAACTCTTAAGTTGTAAACTAAACTGTAAACTCACACTATTAAAAATGTATTAATTTCCTTCAATAAGTGACATCTGCACTTTTTGTCTTATTTTTTCTCCATAAAAAATGAAAGTCGCAACATATGCTCTTTAATCATTTGCATGCAGTACTAATCTCGGGCACCAGGTGACAATATCATTTTGTCGAAATATAAAGAGCTTGAATAGTGCAATTACAAGAAGGTTTTGAAAATCTTGTTTGGTAACCACACAGTATTGGTTATTGTTGGCAAATTTGTTTATTATTATTTTTTTCTATAATGCGACATAGAAACATCACACCAGACGGGCAATTTAGAATCTTGTTAGAAGCAGCAGGTGAAAACTACATTTGACATATATTTCTCATTTCATTTATAGCTTTTTGCATACTGTTGAATTAATATTAGTTTAGTTACCATTTAGTTTGCATTACTATTTTGCTAGTATTTAGGAAGTAGTCATATTTAGGTGTGGTCTATGAGTCTTTGAATCATTGATTCATTAATGAACACATCTCTAATGTGTGTTTCTCAGAGACTTGTTTGGAACTGTTTTCGTTGACAGAGCAAAAATACGCAAAGCAAGTGTCCAACTGCTTCTTGAGCATCTATACACACCCCAGCTGTGTTGACAGCAGCTCCATAACCGCCCCCCCCCCCCCCCATAACTTTAACCAGTGTTTGCTTAAGATAGCTATAGTAGCTAGCTCAAAGCATTTATAACAGTCTTACAAGTCTTATTCATTTTGCATTCATTTGATTGTATGGAATAAAAATTAACTTAACTGTAGATGTCTTTGCCTTGTAAATTGTTTCCTTATGCGATCAATAGGTCAATGTAAATAAATGTATATGGGGTTTGAGTCGTATTAAAAATGCATTAACTACTATAAGAGACCAAAAGACAAGTTTACGAACCTTTCCTGCAGTGGCCATTCGTATTGCTGTGATGAATGCAAAGAAATGCAGAGATTCTCTGGTGCCTGTTCTTGTACTCTGGTTTTATACAAGAAGCAATCTCTCTCTCTCTCTCACTCTCTCTCTCTCTCTCTTACTCACTCACTTACTCATTAATACTGATCTAAAACTTATCTTATGAATGTAAAGATACATAGATATTACCTGACATATTTAACTGCAGATTGTTACTATATTGTCTGAATTTGATTTTATGAGAGCTGGTCTCTATTGGTCTCTATTATATTTATTTTTGACTCAATCTTTCAACACTATTGTTCATAAGAGATATTCAGAGTTAAGAGCAGTTTAACCTTGATTTATGACGTTATTCAAAAGCATAATTAGTGTAAAAGTCAACTGTGATAAGACTGTTTTCTCCATGATTTAGCAGAAGGATTATTATTCTCTGGTGTATTACTCAAGACATGGGGAGAATGAGGAACGTTGCCCTCTAGTGTAATTGTGTGGAGAACGCAAAACTGACACTTTGACTGGGCAAAGACATAAATCCCTCATTCCTCATAAATGCCTGATTCATTTTCAAAATCACAGTGATCGACATAATCATAGCAATGTATGGGAAATAGGGGAGAGCAGGGTGATTTGAGCTTGTGGGGAAGTTGAGCCACCCCTTGTTTCTTGGCAACCTTAAACAAAATGTATGATGTGACCACAAATATATAAAGAGTTATCCATTTGAGAGGCCCATAGCATAATTGTGTGTCCTGTCATCCCTGTTACTCTGGTCAGTCCTGTGACTATGACGTCAATCCTGTTACTGTACATTAATTTCATAAAAATTGTAAAAAATTATAATTGATACATCCTTCGAGGTTTTTCCATTGTCAAGTCAAGTCAAGTCACCTTTATTTATATAGCGCTTTTAACAATACAGATTGTGTCAAAGCAACTGAACAGCATTAATTAGGAAAATAGTGTCAATAATGCAAAATGACAATAGTAAACACTAATTTTTCAGTTAAAGACAGTTCATCATTGAATTCAGTGATGTCAACATCCAGCTCAGTTTAAATAATATCTTTGCAATCATGTCAACGATATCGCTGGAAATGAAGTGTCCCCAACTAAGCAAGCCAGAAGCGACAGCGGCAAGGAACCAAAACTCCATCAGTGACAGAATGGAGAAAAAACCTTGGGAGAAACCAGGCTCAGTCGGGGGGCCAGTTATCCTCTGACCAGACGAACCAGCAGAACGGAAAAATCAATATAAGACGTAATAAAACAGACGATGAACAATATTATATTATTATATTATATAATATTATTAACCATTGTAACTTTAATTATATTTTATTTTGGACAAAGCCCTTTTTTAATATCTCTCTTGTAAAAATATATATTTTTCTTAAATGGCATGAAGTCACACTCCAAAAGTAGGATGTTCTTGGTCATCTGAATGACAAATATAAAAATATTTTTTAAAAGATCAAAAGTTGAAACAATCACAATGAAAAGTGGGACTAAAATGCTGCTCATATATGTGATAACTATCACATAGTTCTAATTAAACTATAGTATATAGTAATGCTTGTCTGTAGCAGGGTTGACAAAAATACCAAAACGGTAGAAAAATAGTCATAAAATGACCATTTCAATTACATAGCCTGAGACGGCACAATACAATTTCTTGTCATTTTAAGGTGTCTTCATTTCATGGACATTTAAAAAAAGGTTGATTAAACTTATTTTATTTTTGTAATTTTTCTATGTGGAAAAGGCACCGATTTCGTGGAATGACCCAAATGCAGGCTATCGATTATTAATAGAAAAAAAATGAATTTTTAAATCAGTCATTTGCAATAATTATTAGAAATTATTTGTAAAAAATGAATGACTTGCAAATGTCACAATTCTCGCATTGCTATTTTTGCTGCAATTTTATGATAAAAATACAGTCCTAGTTATCGTGACTTTAAATACTAGCTATGTCCAGATGTAAGACAAAACTCTACTGAAAGGTTTTTTTTTTGTTTTGTTTTTTCCCCACCACAAACCCCTTGGGAATTCTTCCTCCAAGTTGAACTCAAAAGTTGGCAGCTCTGGTGTAAATCAGCTCTGGTTTGTCTGATGTGATATACTGTACACTCATGCTCTTTAGAGGGCAGACTTGCACAGAGGAATATCTGTGGTGTGGTCTGAAGAAGCTTGTTTCTGTCTTGTGTCTAGTGAAGCCTGGTATCCGTTATCGTGAGCTGAAAACGGTTTCTCTGTGGCCACGGCATTCACAAACTGTTCCATACAGCACCAAACGTACCGCACTATGCCAGTGAGTAACATTTTGTCAAAAAGACACAGTCTGAATGATACAAGCATTGCACACTGTGATATAATCAAACCTGCAGAGATTGCAAACACTCAATAAGCTTGTACTGTCCTTGTTTTATGTATTTCTACAGAGCATGAAGTAGTAATAGTAACAGTCGATCTGGAAATGTAATTATGTGGTGAAAAAGAGGTGACATGAGGACTATGAGGGTTGGCAACACCAGAACAAGTGTCTATGATACAGTTCTTGTGGATTTTTGGACTGACATACATATTGATTTCCATGAATATGTGACCACAAAATAATAATCTTACTGGTTCTTACTGTTAGAAATATGAAGCATGTTGGCTGTGTGAGGTCTGCTGTCTCGGTCTGCTTCAGTGTGTTTGTATGCCTGGCTCGTTGCAGTGTAGGCCAACCGTGTTTGTTTGGTACAAACTCTCCAAATCTCATCAAATCAAGATTGAATTATTAAAAGTCTCCACAGATAAAAGAGTGCCTCGTAACATTATTGAACATTGTACAATGTTTTTCATGAACTTCTACCAGGTTCAGTTAATTAAATTGATTTTGTTAGAGAGGGAATGCGTCTGTGAACACCTAAGGGAAACATTAGGTTAAGTAGGCTACAAATGGTTTAATTATTTTCTGATCATTGCCACTTAAAGAGCAATGTGAAAGCCTGATAAGTTGCAGACGTTGTCACTGGTGCTCTTTGCTAGTTTAATGCATCTCATAAAATAAATGTAATGTTTTTTACAGTTTGCAAGCTGAATTAAAGTATATCTTCTCCTTTATTTTGGCCTGTTGAATCTGAATCTCAAGAAATTATCACAAATAAATGAAAATGGGCATTTAATTCATAAAATGTCAGAAAATATTTAGTTAAAAGCAGATTTTCTGCAGTCATCCAAGAGTTTCATCTGTACTCAATTATTGTTGCTGCTTTTCACATCATTTATCTTTTAGCCAGACAGAACTGGAGTACAAGATTCATACCTTTTCGTTTTATCTACACCTTTCAGAAATAGTTTCAGCATTTTAAACTGGCATTGAATATGTCTGCATCAGGGCTGAGCAATCTATTTCAATCAGTTCATCTTAAACATTTTTTAGAAGACTCTGGAAAAACGATTTCTGCAAGTTGAGACCAAATTGACCAGCCAAGACAGACAGATACGAAGAAAGCATTTGAGAAAGACATGATGTAAAGTATTTAGCGTGTTTATCAGTGTTTGGTTTCAAGCTGCAGGGTGCAGCTGCATATTTTCTGATGCTTCCCAACATTCCCATGATGGTTATGTAAGCAAGACAAATGCTGGAGAATCTGGCTTAGAGAAGAGAAATGTTGACTGCATCATAAATTGAAATGATTAACATGCTTGTCTCTTTTTATTTGGCACAGATAGCATTTTCTTGCAAAACTTTTCAGAAGCGTTTTGCATTGCAGACGAATAGAACCGTTTTTTGATGTTAAACATTAACGTTTACAGGCACTTGTGAATCACTTAATAAAGCAGAGGGCTGGAATATGCTATTAAAGAGGATCCTTGAATGCACCCAGCTGTTACTGCAAAGAAGGTGAAGCGCATAATCTGAATATAATTAAAGTTTTATGTTTAAATGTTCGCCGGTTCCCACCTCCTTCTTCCTGATCTACGAACGTTTGTTACAATAATATATATATATATATATATATATATATACATACACACAAACACACACACAAAGTGTCCAAATTATTTTATATAACAGTATAACAGTTAGTTCAAATCCTCAAATCTAAATGGTAGAGCAGTGTTCCAACTGTGCAACTGTTTTTTTTCTTGTGAGGCTTAATCAATGTAATTAATGTAATTTCTTACTCTTGAATATAATGGTTGCTTTTTTGAAATGGAACAGCTTCAATTACATTCAAGTCCAAAATATGCGACCTACTGAAGCCACCGCCTTTGAAATGAAACTTATATAATGGGAAATGAGAAACTTCTATAAATGAGCCATTGAATTATTCACTCAACCAAATTGTTTGAACGCACTGATTCATTCGATAAAACACACTGGGGTTTGCGAGTGTCTGGGGGTTAGTGAGTGAACTGCAGGGGGTTTGTGAGTTAATGATAAGCTAATAATTGATTAAATCATAACAATTAAAATAATAATGATTAAAACAATCAAAATAAAACACTTACTAAAAAATTTAAGATTTAATTTGTTTAATTGCATGTCTTGTGACCATTAACTGACATCAGAGCACCGTAAATATTGGAATGTGTTGTAAAATTATTGAAATACGAACTTTAAAAAGTAAATATTTTAATCTTGTTTAAAATGTAAGTTACTCAATATTAACTTTTTGTTTATTTATCGGTTGTATAGCACAGCTGAGATAAACTTTTAACCTTTAATTTAGTCAAATGTTTTTCTTAAAGTGTCCTTGTGCTCTCTTTCTTCAAAATGAAAGGCCCTTGTTTCAACATTTTGTTATATGAAGCAAAAACATTCATTCAAGTGTGGCTTAAGTGTCCAGATGCTTCTTGAGTGCACACAACATCTATACACACCCCAGCTGTGTTGACAGCAGCTCCATAACCGGTAGAGATGCCGCAGCCGAGCAGACACACGCGGTCGAGTGGGGCATCATCCTGAATCTTGGCCACAGCAATCTGGTTGATGACGGTGTACTCAGAGAAGGTACTGGTGCCCATGAACTGCAGAACGGGCTGACCACGGCAAGTGAAGCGTGTTGTAGGATCAGACATAATGTCATAATATTTACTTGACCTGCCAGAAAAAAAAGATACATTCCCAAAAAGCAAGTGGATGAAATTTGAAAAACCAGTCATTAAGGTAATTATTTATTTTTTTTTATCATCTGAAAGCTGAATAAATAAGCTTTTCATTGATGTATGGTTTGTTAAGGACAATATTTGGCCGAGATACAACTATTTGGAAATCTGGAATGTGAGGGTACAAAAAAATCTAAATATTGAGAAAATTGCCTTTAAAGTTGTCCAAATAAAGTCCTTAACAATGCATATTACTAATCAAAAATCTAATTTATCTAATCAATACGTTTTGATATATTTATGGTAGGAAATTTACAAAATATCTTCATGGAACATGATCTTTACTTAAAATCCTAATGATTTTTGGCATAAAAGAAAAATCATTTTGACCCATACAATGTATTGTTGGCTATTGCTACAAATATACCTGTGTGCAACTTATGCATGGTTTTGTGGGCCAGGGTTACATATAATGTGAAAAGTTGTTCTGTTGTTCGCATTTTTTACCAGCTGCAGTCACACAGGTTTGTTTTTGGACACTTGCAGAACTTGCATTCTCCACACTGAGAGAGGAAGAGTGGAATGACCTTATCACCTGTTCACCAGAATACATAGACTTATTTTTAACGTAGTGTTTCGTTCATGAACAAATCAGTTAGGTAACCAGATAACACGATTCATTAAAAGATTCAATTCAGAAGACATGAGTGTGAGCAATTGATGATGGAATTTTCATTTTTGAGTGAACTATCCATATGCGTATGAATATGTAGTTTTATTTTGTGACCTGGTTTGAAATCAGTGACTCCAGGTCCCACACTCTCCACCACACCAGCGCCCTCATGTCCCAGGACAGTGGGAAAACCCCGCTTGTCCTTCCCTTCAAACAGGTGGTAAAGGTCGGTGTGACAAACACCTGTGGCTACAACCTTAAAAACAGGAGACAAACATGTTAACCAATAATGGTTAACAATATCAATGCAATTTGACAACTTTCATGGGACATTTCCCACCTTAATGCGTATTTCTCCTTCCTGAGGTGGGGCGACTTCTATTTCCTCCATCATCAGAGGCACATTGGGCTCCCAGGCAACAGCAGCCCGACATTTAATCACCTTTAGCACACAGAAGAACTTGGTTCAGTATGTTTTATAGATATTTAATGGTTGACTACAAATGTTTATATAACCACTGTGCTTGAGCGGTCGCATGATCTACGCTGTCTAACTGTAGTTGGAGGTTGTCCAGCTGTTTGGCTTAAGCCAATGGAAACATTAAACATCTGTTTTTAGAGCCACAAATATCTGTGATTTCACAATCAAAGGTAAATATTAACCCGATGAAATTGCCAGAGCGCATTTTTTGTAGTTGTAGCGTAGTTTAATAGTTTCCATTTGGCAGTAAACTGGCATAATGACCAATAAAAACAACAGGAAAAATACAATTGTCACTTCATTTTTACCTGACATGTGGACTTCTTTATATTGTCTTTGTATATTATATATATATATATATTATAGCCTTTATATACACAGTAGTTTTTGACATATTGCATTATAATTAGAAGTGCAGCAAGTCAATAGTGCATTGCAATAATTACATATACACAAGCTATCACATTTGATACAAGACATTTATCTTACATATTTTTCTTAAACAAGCAAGTTTTCTGGCTTATATTTTTAAGCATAAGTTATACTGGATGGCTTAAAGCATTCATAACATTCTTATGAGATTCTCGTTAAAATGTTAGCATTATATTGCTCAGATAGAATCTTATTTTGAAGATTTCTTTGCACTGTAAACTGTTCATCAATAGATCAACTGAAATAAGCTTAAATATATAAAGGGACTGGAGTCATATTAAAAATGCATTAACTGCTCTGCAGCACAAATGAAAAGAGACCAACAGACAAGTTTACGAACCTTTCCTGTAGTGGCCATTTCCCAATGTAGTCGTATTGCTGTGATGAATGCAAAAAGAGGCAGAGAGTCTCTGGTGCTCGTTTTTATACTCTGGTATTGTGTGGATGAAGCAATCTCTCTCCTCTCTCTCTCACCTCTCTTTCTTTTACTGAAGTAACACTAACTTTTTAATATAGTAAATATATATTAAGATTATTAAGGATTTAAGCATTTCTATGCATGTCTTCTTCACATTTTACTTTGGGTTAAACAGGAAATAATTTCAAAGATACTGCATATGATGTTCTAAATTTTCTAAGACAATTATTGGTAACCCCTTGCCAGGGCTGCATTTCCCAAAAGTATTTTTTAAAGTAGATCATATATATGATTATGATCTATAGGCTTACAGTGCTTTTGGTAAACACAACCCAGATGAATTTGATGGAACTCTGTGGCAAAAATTGGACTGTATTACAAAAAATTATTTAAAATAATGATAGATTTTATTAGGATTACAGTTTTAAAGTTCAATTACATTGCAGAATAATTTAAAATATAAACTCTTTCAAAAGAAATGAATCAATCAAAGTCCTAACAACCCACCAAAAATACAGCATTGTGGCATATAGAAAATGATATATTGGTTCAAATGAAATTATGGCACAGAAGATGCTAATTAACACTGAAAAGAAACATAAACGTAAAAGCAAAGTTTTGGCATTGTGTCCACAATAATGAATTATGAATTGGAGTATTACATACCAAATAAAGTTTTTAAATCAGTACCAAAAATAATCAGAATCAAACATGATTTTCATGAATATGAAGTGATGCCATCTTGCAAAGATATTCACAGTTACATAAAGAGCAGCTTAACCTTGCTTAAAAAGTTAGAGTTCGTAATTTATAAATAATTTTCAAATATAATAATTCATAAAGAAAAAGCTTAAGTGCAATAAAAACAGGCTTTTTCATACTTCTGATCCTGAATATGGGTCATACAACATATTCTGCTGTAGCAAAATTTGCATACTAAATATTTCCTTTATGAAATTATCCTTTGATTTCATTGATACTGATATTGCAACATGAATCTTTGAAAAGAACAGACAACATTAGCAGATTACAGTAAAATCAACTAATAAAAATACCAAATAGGAATTTACAGCGCATAATGTAGGTCTTTTATCATAAAAGGTTTGATTTTAATAGTTTCTTCCTCTGCTCAGACTATTAGAGCATTTTATTTAATTCATACTTTCAAAGTTATCCCAGCAGCCCCAAAACATTCACATGCAGTAGTATTAACACATTCAAGTTTTAACACAGAATGATTATTATTCCCTGGTATATTTCCCAAGACATGTTTAGGGGAAAATGAGGAAGGTTGCCCTCTAGTGCAATTGTGAGGAGAATGCAAGACTGACACCTGGGCGAATAAGAGTAATACATTCAACAACGGTAATGACCTTATAACTGATATGTACAGCTGTCATTAGAATCTGGTTATCCTTTGATAGTCAGCATATCAATATGCACCCATTTTGTCAATGCAAATATTGAAGGCAAGCATGCTTTTCAAAAGTACCTTTCACAGCTAACACACAGTTCACATAGGCCGGAGGAATCATTCCAGTAGTTAAAGTAAATCCTCTGATTATCTTCATTAACTCACCCTCTTGTTACGTACCCACATAAAAAGAAGGCAAATTACACAGACCCAAATATACGGATCAGGTAAAACTTTCAAATGACATTCACGAAGTTCATCTTTTATAGAAAGGAGTCTCTCCTCTCTTTCACTGGCACTGGCTGTGGGTGGCAAATTAACCTTCATGTGTCTGCCTGTCTTCACATCTGTTATTTCTGGATATAAATGATAATAATGCATAGAGTTCCCACAAGACCGAGGGCTTGGATACCCAGGAACCAGAGCAGCATCCAAAATACCAGCACGACCACAGGCTCCACGATCTTCTCTCCGAAGTAAAGCTGGGTGAAACCAATGCCCCTCAAACACTTATTGAGCTCCCCGAAAAGAGTGCCCAGCCTCTCGCAGTCATCCACCAACGGAGCCTCTGGCTGTGGCTCTGCTACAGAGTGACTGTGTGGTCTTTCTCTTCCCCTGAGGTCATTCTGAGAGCAAAGAGAGTTTGACTAGATTACACAACGCTTTTTTTAAAGTGCCCCTATTATGGATTTTTGAAAATTACCTTTCATGCAGTGTGTAACACAGTTCTATGTGAATGAAAACATCCTGCAAAGTTTTAAATCTAAAAGTGCACCGTGTATAAAGTTATTGTCTTTCAAAAGAAAGAGTCGACTCAGAGTCATGAAAACGATTGGTATTTTTGTTTTCTTTGCGCTCAAAAAGTATTCTCGTAGCTTCGCAAAAATGTTGAGCCACTGATGTCACATGGACTGTTTTACCGATGTCCTTACTACGTTTCTGGACCTGGGAACATTACAAAGTGCGTTCCGATTGACAGGGTCCCTATGCAGTGTTCACTGCTCCCTACTCCCTAAGCACGGGATATCCACTGAAGTGGACTTAGCTGACAATAATCGCTTATTTGGAACGCTCTGGAACTTCATCAAAGAAAGGCAACGAAGGGGTCACTCAGATTATTATATAACATAAATGTTGTAATTAATTTTACTTTCAAAATTAAATACATACACAATTATGTATCTACTAAATATAGTCAAAATGTATATGTTTAGACTGTTAACAGATTGTAGTGGTTTCATCTCATGCACTTTCTTTCCCACGCGCAGCCTCATAGTAACTCTCCTGAGGTAGGCCTAAATAAAGTAAAATGAAAAATGACAGAGCCTCAGCTGTTTCTCGCCGGTTTTACTTAGTTTCACCTATTCATACAATACAATATGCAAATCTAACATTAACCGCCATAACCATTCATAAACACTGTAATTTGAATAATAATAACAACAACATTTATTGCAACCCCTCCATTGCAGAGCCTTTAAAAAAACTCTTCTAACGGCTCTGCTCCATCGTTAGTCTGACTGGTGACGCGGTGCGCAATGACAGCTGGGTGATTTTCCCTCTCCACTTCCTGTGAAGTGATGCATCGATGTTCCCTTATTCCCTATGCTGTTCGCAGTGCCCTTCGAACTGAACATGTTCGCTCCCTTCGTATTGGAATATCACTTAAGATGGCGGAATACCCTGTGAAGTCCACTTAGCAGTCCACTTATGGTCGAATGGAACGCACCTACAGTTGCGTTGCCGTCTATGCAGGGTCTGAGAGCTCTCATTTCATCAAAAATATCTTAATTTGTGTTCCGAAGATGAACAAAGGTCTTACGGGTTTGGAATTAAATGAGGGTGAGTAAGTAATGAGAGAATTTTCAATTTTTGGGTGAAATATCCCTTTAAGCTGTTTCAAGTTGACGTCAACATGAAACATTAGCATAACATAACGCGTAGACCCGGGAAAACTTGAACCTCCCCTCCCTCAAACACCGTAGCGGATTCCCAAAGACTATAGAATACCCAAGACGTGTCACTCGTATAGTTTTGAATGGGGAAAAATGCAACGCTTAATATGGCCGCTCAATCGCAGGAAGCCCCACCTTCTGAATGAAAAAGCCAATCGCTAATCGGTAAAGTCAGCGCGTCACTGCAGCTGCCGTTAGAAGTCAACACATGGTTGCCAGGTTGACAAAGATAAGCTCTGTTTCGGGGATAACGTCTCTTTATATCAGGCAACTCAGTTGTGTTCCTCCGTGGCCAGATTAAACCTTGTTATAGCCCAGGGGTAGGCAAGTTCAGTCCTAGAGAGCCGCATTCCTGCAGAGTTCAGCTCCAACCCTAATCAAACACATCACCTGCCAATAGCCTTAGTAATCCTGAAGACATTGATTAGCTTGTTCAGGTGTATTTGATTAGGGTTGGAGCTGAACTCTGCAGGAATGCGGCTCTCTAGGACTGAACTTGCCTACCCCTGGGCTATAACAAGGTTTAATCTGGCCACGGAGGAACACAACTGAGTTGCCTGATATAAAGAGACGTTATCCCCGAAACAGAGCTTATCTTTGTCAACCTGGCAACCATGTGTTGACTTCTAACGGCCTATTGGCGGGTGAGTTTTTTTTCAGGGTTGGAGCTGAACTCTGCAGGACTGCGGCTCTCTAGGACCGAACTTGCCTACCCCCGATATAGCCTATATATTATGCTCTATTCATTATTTTTTAGAAACCTCGCACACGTGCCACAATATCGATACAAGGCCAGCTGTACATTTCTGTGACGATACATCGTCGTATCGATGTATCGAACACAGCACTACTGTGGCCCTGTCCCAAATGACACCCTAAACCCTCGCGGTCTTCCTCTGAGTCCGCACTTTCGTGACGTAATGCCGCTTTGACTGTCGGGTAGAAGTCTGCTGCAGAGCTCGCCCCAGTGCAGGCTCAGCAGAAGTGCGGATCGAGGGCGCATAACGGCCGCAAAGGGGGCGCTCGCGAGCACCCTTCTGAACACTAAAATAACGAATGGGACACCCTACGGTCTCGTGGACTTAACGGACACGTGCACGTGGCGGCCATTGTAAGTCCGTAAGACCGCAAGTGCACATCAAATGTTCAATTTGGGACAGGGCTTGTGACTATGAGGTAAATCCGTTAGGATTTGTCGAAAAACTCCCAACTCATTTTCTCCTCAAACATCAAAATCATCCTACATTGCTGCAGAAGCACCGACCCATTGTTTACAAAGTGAACGTACAAGGAGGGTCAAACATGCTTTACAAAAAAAAAAAAGGTAAAACAATGATGTAGGATGATATTGAAGTTGGAGGAGAAAAGTTTTGACAGTTTTTAGACATACCCTGTCTTGAACCGTTGTACACAGAGTACGCATGCGCCTCGCAGAGCAAGACAAGAGGAGCATTTGTGGTTAAAAAGTTCATACATTTTTTTTTAAGAAAATGATCGTTTCGCTAGATAAGACCCTTATTCCTTGGCTGGGATCGAGTCGAGCCCTTTGAAGCTGCATTGAAACTGCATTTTTAACCTTCAATCCGTTGAGCACCATTGAAGTCCAATATGGAGAAAAATACTGGAATGTTTTCCTCAAAAACCT